GGTCAACAAAAATCATGTGACTGCTTCCTGGTGAAGAGCAGCAGCAGCAGCAGTTCAGCAGGTAGCCATCATGCACAGGTGAGGTCACTGGTGTCGTACTGGTTTAAACTGCTTTGCCTTTTCTAGCTTCCTGAAACCGGACAGTGTTCAGCGAGGTGATGGCGTTTAAGCAGGTGACAGGTGATGCAAACTGCGAGCTTTGTGTCTTGTTGTGCGTGTGTGTGTGTGTAGCTGCGCGGCAGGCTCTTCGCCGCCGTCTCACCGAGCTTCAGCATGTCGTCAGCCATCAGCGAGGCCAGCCGCGCGTCGCCCAGCATCACGGGACAGATGGGGTGAGCTGAGCCTGAGATGGTGAAACCAGCCTGCGTCATGTTGTTCCTGAACCTGACGGGACGCCACAGAGGAACATATTACAGTCACAATCACAGACGGATAATAGTTTCAGCTGTAATCACAACATAGCAGAAATCTAACTGTATATAATTTAACCTTATAAAGACAAATTACTCGTGAATCCCAAACATTTCCCTCAGTGACACGAGGACGCTCATAATCCTTGAAACCATAAAGGACGAGGAATCTCAGTTTAGAACCTGCGTTTAGTGCAAATTGCAGCTGGTGCCTAAAAATAAAAGTCAAAATAGTATTTGTCAATGTAATGTAAGAGTAGCTGCTGTTTGTGGTAGACTGTTTGTTTTTGATATTTTTAAACCAGCTGCCTCACTGTGTTTACACCTTCCTGATAAGTGGCGTCTGTAAATTCTAACTTTCAATAATAATCAATAATTCTGAAAAGACGGTTGCGTAACGCGGCCTGGCGGCTGTATGTGGGTGTTACTGAGCAACGTCAAGAAACAAGACGATGGGAAATGCATTTACTCCCGGTTCACATGTACAACAGTTGCGCTGCCAGTTCAAATATTAGCTCATTTGGTTTCTGTTCAAGAACATGATGAAGGAGATTCTGCAGTTTCTCCTCCTGGACATTTACCGCTTCATTCTCCTCAGAAAAACACACTGATTTTACACTTGATCACAAATTATTCCCGAAGACGTTCGGAAGGTTTTGAATAGTTGTGAACAAATACAATGAGAAAAATGAAACCAAATTTAAGTAATAAAAAAAAAAAAAAACTTGTTGCCACTGACAACAGCGATAAGCTCCTAGTGGGCGTCTCTGGCTAACAGAAAACCACAAAAGCAGATAGCCCCACCCCTTCCTTCAGACAACAAACGCACCTCATGGTTTTGGCCGTCATGCTCTGCGCAATCTCGTTGGAGGCGAGCAGCAGCTCCACGGCCCGGGTGGCACAGCCCACCACAGGAGGGGGGAGGGAGTTGGAGAACAGATAGGGCCGTGAACGCTGCCTCAGCAGGTCGATGAGAGGCTTGGGGCCGACCGTGTAGCCACCTGAACAAAACATGACGACACAGAGGAAACACAGTGACCAGCTGGTGCAGAGAGTCCAACATCTATCCACCCACACACCAAGGACAGTGAGTGCTGGACTGCTTCGTGTCTGCTAAATGTTTAAACAGGAAACATGTTCCCCTATAAAGACTATATAAGACGATCATATGCCTGATGCTGCGGAGGACTTACCAGCTGCTCCTCCCAGTGCTTTCCCCAGGGTGGAGTTTACAATGTGAACTCTGTCCATCACTCCCAGCAGCTCGTCCGTCCCTCTGCAAATCACAGGGAGTTTATGTCCCATTTAATGATCGTAAGATATCCAACTTGACTTCACTGAAGCCCCTGTGTAACAGATCCTGACTTGGTGGTATAATAACCAACTTCACCACGCAGGGAGTTTAACAAGTGGGGATAACTTTATTATATCCCATGCTTTCTTTCTCCTGCTTTATTTTTATCATATTTGTTTTCATTTTATCATTATTATTATTACTAATGAGCTACTGAACACCTGAATTTCCCCTAGGGGATTAATAAAGTATCTATCTATCTATCTATCTATCTATCTATCTATCTATCTATCTATCTATCTATCTATCTATCTATCACAAAGGAAGAAGCAGAAGGTTAAAATTCCTATGTCAATGTTTATCAGTTAATATGCAAAAAGAAATTGTATATGCTTTGCATTCTGGGTAAATCGGCGTCTCGCTCACCTGCCCCGGGGCCCCAGAAAGCCGGTGGCGTGACATTCATCTATAAACACCATGGCTCCATACTGTTCCGCCAGGTCACAGATTCCCTGTAAAGGAGCCACGTCTCCGTCCATGGAGAAGACTCCATCCGTCACAACCAGGCGCATACGAGACGACTGCGGAGGACAAAACACAGCGATCGGTCACATGACTGCTGTGACCTTTACCTGACCCCGTCACGTCAGTAATATGGGTTTAATGCACCATGAAGCTCAAATGGAAATGATGAGAGAGCGACCCGTGTGAACTCTTCTCTACAAGCCTCTGAAATAATAAATGTGTCTCACATGAGCATTTATCATTATTGTTATATTTGCTCTGGTTTTGCCTCCATCACACCCCGTCTCCCTCGGTTACCGTTCTTTCATGGCACACTAATGGAGCACAGGAGGAGGTCCACACACCTGCGCCTCTTTGAGCTTGTTCTCCAGGTCACTGAGGTCCATGTGTTTGTAGCGCAGCCGCTTCGCCCGACACAGACGGATCCCATCGATGATGGAGGCATGGTTCAGCTCGTCAGACAGCACCGCGTCATCCGGACCCAACAGAACCTGGCGGAAGAGTAGTTTGATGCCTTACTGAGCACAGCAGGACACATCTTTCTCATCTTGTCCCAGTCCGCTGGAGCTGGAAGCTCGATTTTACCTCAAACAGCCCGGCGTTGGCGTCAAAACAGCTGGCGTAGAGGATGCAGTCTTCCCTCTCGTGGAACTCTGCGAGCTTCTGCTCCAGGTTTTTGTGTAGATCCTACAAATCGCAGAGGAAACTCAGTACCGCAATGAACGTAGCTACGTGTTGTCATGCTTGTGTTAAAGTGCTGTTCCAGTGTATTCTACGGTGGCCCTGAGAGCTCAACACACTTAACACGACTTAAGAAAACACGTGCAAATAAACAAACGCGCTGCAAATTTAGAAAACATCTTCATCAATTTGACAAACACATGTGCTTCAAAAAATGGGGGGGGGGTACTATGAAGGCGTAATCCTATCCGCAGCGGCCCGGGTTCAAGTCCAACCCGTGGCCCTTTGTGTCATATCATCCTCTCTATCTCTCTCTCTCTCTCTCCTTGACTCTCTCACTCTCACTATGGGAACTAAAGCAAGAAGTAACTTAAACTTATCAGGCATTGAACAATAAAGTCCCAGCCAGGTTCGCCACTTTTTAGTGTCCCCTGGAAACAAACCTGTGTCCCGCAGATGAATCTGACTGAGCTCAATCCGGCTCCGTACGACTTTAGAGCATCAATCCCTGCCTGCACCACCTCTGGATGACTGGACAGTCCGAGGTAGTTGTTGGCACAGAAATTCATTATGCCTGAGAGAGAGAGAGAGAGAGAGAGAGAGAAAGAGAGAGAGAGTTATGGAGGACATGAAACCAAAGGTCTGTCAGTCTGTATGTTTTGCAAAAAGGCAAGTGACAGAAATAAAGTCAATTTCACACATGAGAGGTCATGGCCTTAAATCGAAGGACCATCCATGAATCAGCAGAGTCCATCTCTGGCAAAGGTCCATCCTGAAATGTAAACACTGACTGGCTGCTTTTGCTGACAGAACACAGAACAGGTCAGGGATTAGCAACTATTCTGTCTGCAACAATGGGCTCTTATAAACAGTTTCCTCTTCCTACTGCTATAAAAACGGGCTCACGTGGTTTGTTTTAAACCATTTTAGGGGCCTTTCATAGGCAAACTGCTGACTTATTGGAGATTAGCTTGAAATCAGTGTTTCTATAAAAAAAAAAAAAAAAAGTTGTCCAATTTCCCACAGGTTAGTCCTGCCCGTGAATCAGCTCAGAGGTGGCTCGTGTCCTCCAGTAACATTGTATGGCTGTAAATTAACTGTCCAACATGAAGATAACATCGCGGCAGGGCGCCAACTGCAAATCTATCTAGCATTTAAATGGTGCGTTTACGGACACGGTGTGACTGTTCTGATGTAGCCTACTTTAATAAACTGCTGTTACCAAATTACCACTCACTGCCACGACTGCCATCCACGTTGATTTGAGGACCCTGCTTGGACGTGATGATCCTCTCCGCCTTCCACGTCCCCGCGGCTCGGATACCGTCGAGCTCGTTCTCCAGCACCGCCCTGGCTTCGGCGCCGGCGGCGTAAGTCCGCTTCGACGCCGAGGCCGGAGGCCGCAGGACCCCCCGGACTGGATTCACCAAACTCCGGGCAGCTTTTCCGAGAGACATGACGGCGGTGGCGGCGATATGTTTTTCAGGTGTCAAACGTGCAGGCGAGGACTCCAGGCGTGGTTGCGTCACGTATCAGCGGTGGGCGTATGCGCGGCGGGCCAATCAGGTGGCAGAGCGCTTGGAAGGTGGGTTGTTTCGTCCAATCAGATTTGTGAAAGCATTTACAACTCCCTGGTGCTGCTTCACTATAATGGCAACGTGTTGCTCTGCACTACTGTCGTCCTTCTTGTTTTCTTTCCAACACTGAAGCTACTCCACCTTTTAATTTATAGTAAAATTATAAACATACAATGTGTTACAAGAAGAAAAGACATATTCGTTGCGTTTGGGTGTCATTATTACATGACTACACACACATACACTACCCCTGTTTACCCTCTGACCCTTAGTCTTTATTTTTGATTTAATTTCATTTAAAGTGACAAAACAAACCTGTAACTGCTAAACATGGTTGTAATATTCCAGTAATATTTTATGAAAATCTGTTGTCAGTGAAGTATAAACTGCGTAGTTGGCTAACAGTGTTTACATATACTCACTGATAAGCGTTGGTCAAGCTGATTTGAGTCAGTAGGTGTGACATGTTCAGTCAAATCTAATTAACAACAGACAGGAATTAAAATAGACTTGTAGTGGTCCCACACCTCTAAATCCATGAATTGGATTACACGGTAAGAAACCTTATTGCAGAGCTCTTTGAGTTCAGAATAAGAACAGACAGACTTCCAGTTAATAGATTTAGTTTAATATATGACAGTACTCTGTCATGACTTTCTGTTAAACTTCAAGTAAAACGTCTTCACAAGGGAAAGTTGGATGTAAAAAACCTCATTCAGTTTTCTGTCATCCCACATCAACAATGATGTGAAGCACCAACCTGCTCCTTTATGTAACAGCTGAGCTTCTCTTACATACAGGTTTTCAGTGTTTGCTACTTTGACCAGGGAGTTGTTTTTTTTTTCTGTAACCCATCATCATAATTGACAATATATATATATAATAACAGCAATATAATACATAATCTATGTTGCAAAATGTTTTTTTTGTTTTTTTTCGTAACAATATCCCCTCTCTCCTTCAACAGCAGGAATGTAACCATATAAAATGTGCAAATGTTTGCATTCCACACATGGACAAACCCTCACAACAATGTCAAGTAAAAACTTCTGTCCTTCATGAAACAAGATTATTCTTATCAGTTAAAAAAAACTCATTTGCTCCACAGTAAGTATACATAGTTATGAAGTCCTTCCTCAAATATGGGAGTTGCACTTCTCCCATATATCAAATGTGCCATTCAACCATTCATCTAAAAGAAATCTCCACGTCTCCACCGACGGCGCGGGAGCTTCATGAGTATTGTTAGTTTGGCAGGTTTAAGTGTAGTTTAAGACTCGGAGTGGTTGGTGTCCTGTGAGGAAGCCCTCAGTGACGGCAGGCGCTCGGCTGCTTTCGCCCTCTCTGCCAAGAACTTGTCAAACTCTGCAGAGGAAGACGAGCAGGATCAGGTGAGACGACACTTTATCGATCATCTAAAACTAAATTTCTGAATGGAATTATGGGATGAAGAAATAGACATGAAAAAATAAAAACTATAGTGGGACTTTATGCTGGTGTCAACGTAGATTAATGAGAAAATTACCCTTAAGACTCAACAGTGAAAAACCTTTGAATAAATAACCCTGAACCAATAAATGATCAGATTTATCAAAATGTATTCTGTTGCACATAAACTAAACATATGACGGGAGCCGTTTGGAGCGGATACTTAAAAATGGCTGTTTTCAATGCTGAATAGGTCTGAAAAAAGTTGCATGTGGCACCAGATCTCCCTTGTATTAAAGCCTGTAGTTCCACCTACTGGTCAAATGCAGAAAATGTTTAGAATCAGATGCAAAGGAAGTAAAGTGTAAAGACTCTCACCTTCACTGGTCACACCATCCGAGTCCTCATAGTCATCGTACTGTAGCACAAACACAAGAGACATATTTTTGCTTTATATACATACACACAAAAAACATATACAGTCAAAGGATAATTGGTTATTTTGCCATCAAGATAATTTAAGTTCAAAACGATGTCACTATCTTGACTGTTGAGCTCAATGTGGCTTCATTTCAAGCTGAAGTAGAAACATGACGACAACATTAGTAATTCCTCTTTTCTGTGTGTGCATTTCACTGTTAATTATGAATAGTTTGAACTGTGACATTTCTGACACACCTGCGTTACACACTTTACGTTAGCCTGCAGAACACACCGCTCATATATTACTTTGAACTGGCACAAGTGAGTTTACATGAAAATGTTCCAGTTAAAATGTGAAAACCAAGTGAAATATGCTCATCACAATTCCTGAGGTGACACATTTAAATTTCTTTTATCCGACCAACGGTCAGTTTAGGGTTACAAGAGACTCAGCTCTAGCTGGCAGTTTTAATGTAACGATGCAGCATCACACAGCTGTAGCTGTAACTGTGTAATTACCAACAAACTGAAGCTAATGAAGTTTCAAAGTCTTCAGTACACTGGATTTTCAGAAGCATTAAAGCCCTTCTTGTGTTTGACTGTGGGAGCTTGCTTTGGTTTAAGTGTGTACTAAAGTGCAGAGCTCCAGGAGAAATGGTGAAGCTTTACAGTGAATTATGAACCAGAGATATATTTTAGTGAACCAAGAAAGGAGCAGGAAAATGTGTCGTAAAACAAAATAATATCTCTTATATTTATCTCTTTGTCTTTATTAAATTTGAGCTTTTTCAGGTTCTTTTCATTACTTTTAGTTAACCATTTTAGCCATTTATCCATTAAAGAAGAGAATGAGAAAGAAGAAAGAAAGAAAATGTGTAGTAAAACAAAATAATAATAATTTCTTTATCTTGATTAAAACCATTTAGCCTACCTCATCGTCCAGCGCTAGCCATTTCTCAATATCATCCATTACATTGGACTGGTTGATAGGAATCTAAGAGAGGAAGCAGGGCACCAGGATGGTCAGTGCAGTGAAATACAAACCACTGATAAAACTTCATGAAGATGTAACAAAGCTAAAAAAAAAAAACACACCAAAACCCCCCCCCACAAAACAACAACCACATGTCGGTGAGCAAAGCACTGAATGAAGAGGATTACAGGTATGACAACAATGCAGCATATCAGGACAGTCCAAACCAAACACTGTCATGCTCTGTGTGGGGCGTAGGCGCAAAATTAAACTCCCAAAATATCTTTTATGTCTTCACCACATACAAAAGCATGCAAACCATTGTTTTTTTTTTTTCTAATCTCAATACGTGAACCACCAAACCCAAAAAGTGAAAAAGAAATTGCAACCTCATGACAAAACCAACAGACAGAGGGCGTGGAGAGGTGAATCTATAACCAGGACGCTTTTTAAACACAGACCCACCATTCCCATTTTAATCATCCAATCTAACTTTGGTGAGGAGCCGCGGCTGGAGGCGGGGCTGTCATCCTTCATGTACAGACAGAGAGTTCATTTAGGGAGGGAGAACAGTTTCTGAGACACAGTAAACACACATTTACTAAACCGGGGGTCGGGGGCGGCTTAATTGTTTAATATGTCCTGACTGAAACTCACCGACAGCAGCGTTTCCTCCAGACACATAATACAGGTCAGACATTGTGCACAGTATCATGAACATCTATAAAGTGAGTTTGTTACTGTGTTGAACACAACATCTAAATGTGCGGCTGATGATACAGTGAGTTGGGTTTTTCATTTTCAAAAGCTAGAAATGTTTCTTGAGCTAAATAAGCACTTATTATTCTTTTTTTTTCTTTTTTTTCGACTGGTCCCAAAGGTCACGTCTCAGATACGAAAAATTCAATCACGTCAGCTGATGAATCTTGTGACTAAACTTGTTAAACCGTGTCAAACCTGAATAACATGGCATCTTTGCTCACCGTTCCAGCGTTGTGTAGTCTGTTCTCCTGCGCTTGAGCCAGGCCGTCCACTGCGACTTCACTCTGCTCGCTGAAACAGAAGATTTGTACTCGGTTAACTGCCGCTGTAAGCTAATAATTCAGGTTAACACACAGTGAAATACACATGGCACACATTGTGAAAAGGAATTAGACGGAATAAGTCAGAGTCAAAACCAAAACCAAAACAAAAGATCAACATCTCTGCAAACGCCATACCTGAGAGTTTACCCCAGGACAGATCTACATGACTGCTCTGTAAGTTTATAACTAGTAGAATTACTACCACCACAGCCCTATATTATTATTAAAGGACAGACATCTAGCTTTGCGCTTGTTTTGGCTAACACAGGGGGATGGCTGCTAGCTATAGCGGTTTAAGAAGTGAAGCTAAAACCATCAAAATAGAGTTACACAATCAGATTTGACTTTTTCTCCAGGCAGAGAAAGAGGTTAGCTGGTTCACTCATTGGTTAGGAGTTCAAACTAACAAACTAAACTAACAAAAACAAACATACTTCAAACAAACTACGACGACCGCTTCAAAGGAAGGGAGTCGTCATTTTATCAGTCGGCATTCACAAAAGTTTATTACAATACAACAGTTACTGTGGTCAAAATACATGACTCTATTTTTATTTCATAGCTAAAAACATTAGACATTATATATTGACCACAGAACTGGAAATGTCCCCAGTTTTCATTTCAGATATCCGGTCACCTTAATTTATACCCTACTTTTACCCAACTGTTTACGGTGCATGTCTTCATCATCAAAGCTATGGTTAATAGTCTTTCTGTACCTTGGTCTTTGTTGATTGGAGACATTTATTTTCTGTGATAATATTTCATCTGATTCACTTGTACCTGCAAGAGGAACAGCAACAGAGGGTCAGTTTTACAGAGCATAGCATTAGTAGAAGGATACATACACTCTACATGTGCAGTATTTACTGTATGTATGAAGGCTTGTGCACAGCGAGACTTACTAAGTTTTGCCAACTGACTGGACAAACTGTCGCTGGTGACTGATGCAACTCCCGACTCCTGAGACTCAGCTGTGACGTCGAGGTCTGCCAGGTTGACGTAGGTTTGGCTCTAAGAAATTAATTAATTCACAATGCAACCATTTCATAAAGTAATGAGTGTTGAGCTGCTCAGAATAACAACCAATTCATTCATTTTTGCCTTGTTCTTTACCTTCGGCGTTGTATTTTGACCATTTGTTATGCGTCTTTCAAACCTGTAAATGGCAGAACAAACGTATGTCATGATCTAACGGAGAAACACAGTTCTTTTATTTTGTTAATAATGAGTGTGATAATAATAGTAATGATGTCGTCAACCTGTGGTAGCGAGTGAAGGCGGTGTTCATTTCATCATTAGTCTCCAGTAATTCTTCAATCAGCTTCTCCTCACTGAGTCTGGGGACGATCTTCACTATCCTGTCTTGCATTTCCTTACAAACTGTGTATAACTGCTAATGACACAATCAAATAAAAAATGTGTGGGTGGGGTGGGGGGGGTCGAAGGGACAGATGCAACACACAAAAAAAAAAACGTATACGGTACTAGATCAGTTAAGGGTAACACCGTGTTACTCAGCATGAATGGATGGTTTTGCAACAGAGAGAGTTTCACGTCACTGTAAACAAAACACAAATCTGTTTTTTTATTTTTTTTACCTCCAGCAGCTCCATGTCTGCTTGTTTTACCGTGACAGGATCCAGCTGACTCATCATGTCCGACATCATGGTCAGGTTGCTGCGCACCACTCCCAGCTCTGTCTTCAGCCTTTTAACCTGGAACATCAATAGTATTTCCTGAGTCAACACAGCTATAATAACTCCTTGCAAAGGCACACATTGATTTCATATGTGGTTGAGTAACAGGCCACAAAGAATCATTGACATTTACAGGGTTTTGAGACAACCAACGTCTGTCATTAATAGGAATACGGTGCAATTTAAATATTAAAATAACCCATTAAAAGGCGGCGAGGCCCGTCACCTGGCTGGGAGTGAAGGCGTGGGTTCCCTCTAGGGCCAGTTTTAGCTCAGAGGTCTGAGGTGGGATGAGCGGAGGTTTGGAAGAAAGGAGCACAGCAGGCAGAGTAGTGACAGCAGGCCCGTTCCCAGGCAAAGGCTGGCAGGAAAAGGCCCAGAAATGACCCAAAAGAAAAAGAAGACCAGAGGCGATAGATAAGCACCGAGCTACCGGCAGTAAAACACAAAGTGCACCCGGTCATGTTTGCACCTTTTTGGGGCCTTGCACGGGTGAGTAACCGTCCAGTTCTGTCATGGGGAACTCGAGCCCTTTCCTTCGCAGGTCTTCGTACACTGACACCACACCCGTCAGGTCGGGCGAGCTGCGGAATGCATCAGCCCACGCCTTGGCAAGAGAAAACCACAAATTACTATCAGACAGCTGAGCAACGTGACAATAACCTAATTTTCTGTTCCATGCGGCCACACCTCCAGCCTCACCTGTACGATGCTGAGCACCCGGTCATGCAGGATGAGCGGAGGGTTGTTCCTCGGGATGATCGACCGGACCAGAACCCCTTCTACGAAGTCCCGCGTTGTCACCAGGATGTGAAACCTGTAGCCACAGTTCTTCACACATGTCTCCAGGACCTGAACACAGCAAATTAAATCACGTCTGACATCTGATTACACCTGACTAGAACCAGAGCAGAGTCTGTAAACCACGAGCTGTCAACAGCACTCACCGTAAGTGCCAGCATAACCTCCTTGAAGTTCTTATTCCCCATAATCCTTTTCCTTATGGCTCTGACGGCATCTTTAGGCCTGCAATCAGAACATTAGCAGCGGTCAGAGACCTAACCTCCAGAGGATCAGCTTGTTCCTGATGCAGACAGATAACACACACACACACACACACACACACCCTTCCTCTGAGCTGTTGATCATATCACAGATTTCCATATTGAGAGTCCAGTCATCTGATGGAAGGCTGGAGCTGGTGGCACACTCTGAAAAACAAAGAGAGACAAGTATGACGCTGCTTATGTATGACTTATAATACAACAATAACTTCTTCTTGCACATAACAAGCATAATACTTTACATCCACTACAACAATAAACAATACGAGCTATTAAATAATCAGTTCACAAATTAAGTTTGTGGTCACATGTGGCATTCAGGGTTCAGTCCTAGGACCCGTATAAATCAGAACATGTGTAGATGTTATGAAAGTTGATTTCCCCTCTGTGCTGAAGCCAGCTGAGATTTTTTTGGCGTGTTTTCAAATCTGCCTTTGAAATAGAAAACATGCTTAGACAAGAATGAACATTTACCGGCTCATTACCGGTTGTACAAAGATGACATGTTGCGTTTGTGACTATAGAACAAAGAAGAACTCTAAAACTCACAAATATCTAAACATGACTAACTGCAGGTTATAAAATGTATAACGTGTATATGCCCATTTAAAACAGAACAAAACCTTCATACAGGTGTTTGAGTGAACTGGAGACAGACATTAGGATAATAATACTGTTGTAGAAATTCAAAACATAGAATGTGGAGATTAAAGTCTGAAAAGCTGTAAAAAAAACAAAAAACAAACAAACACAGTCTGTTTAATGAGTGAAACTGTGGCTACCATAATTAAATATGCTCATCCACTTATTGTAATGACTATCTCCCAGTTTCCATCAGTCAATGAAAACACATGTGCAACGAATCATTCGGCTGCGGACAAATATAAATCAAATTTGGGTCAGGAGGATGTCGGCCAATTTCTGTCCCGCCCAGCTATTGGCAGACACAATAACAACCAATCAACAGGCGCATCCGAGCCTCTTACTCCCGCCTCTGCCAGATCATTGTCCAGCGGACGCGTCAGTCAAACCGTAAGCCGTTGCTCTTCTGTCAGTCTTAATAAATTTCACATGAATTCATCTTTTTTTCTTCTTCTTCTTCTTTTTTTTTGTGTGAACGTGTTGCATTTATAACCGCGTTAGTACACGTGATAAAATCCCTGTGGTGTTGAAAGGGAGGGAAGCGTGCGGACAGACGTGGCGTAACGTCTGCAGCAAAGATGACTGAGTCTGGCTCAAGCGTTCGGTCGCTACAATGTAACGATGCGACGGTAATAAAGCGGCTCACCGATCCGCTGTCCCACCGGCGTGCTGAACGGATTCCCCATTAAAAACTCCATGGTGAAGGCGGTGATCGCCCAGCTGAGCGCCGACGTCCCCGGGCCGAGCCGTACGCAACAACAAGCCCCGCTCGCTCCTGCAGACCGGACCGGACCTCTGCTGTTGCTGCTGCTGCTGCTGTCGCTGTCGCTGCTGTCGCTGCCGCTGCTGCTGCTCCTCACACTACAAAGTGGGGCACTAGTTGAACTGCGTCATGCTTTAAAGGGAAAGCAGCCTGCAACTATCACACGGACGGTGCTGCATGCTGCTTCACGAACAACTGCGCCCCACACAGGCGTTGTGCATGTCTGCAGCCACAGCTCAGACGGTCTTCATGTGTCATGTCTGTCTTTATATCGGCTACTCTGAGAAAAATAATCATACCTGCTGAAATACAGAAGTCATATGTAGACATGTTTTAAACTAGAGAAAAATTGACACAGAAAATTGAGTTTAAGGGTGTGCTCACTTATGCAACCACATCGTTTTTATTTTTATTTTTCCCCCATAAATGATTTTGTTGATTGATAGTTTTCAACTGTTCAGGTCATAGGTCACATTAAAGGTGGAAAAAGTTCTGAAATGATTTATCTGCCACTTTAACAGGTGTGTGAAGGCTTTTTATAGCTGCTGTACATATACATGACATTCATTTGTAATGAGTCAGTTGTAAACTAACTTGCACGCGTAAAGCTCCAGAAAGGCTGGATCCTACAGTTCCCATAATGCAACTCACCGTAATTCATAAGATATTAAGAGATGTTGATTGGTCAGACTTCAAGACTAGTTCTTCAGGACTGTCATCTCTCTCATGCCCTGTTTTATGTTGTCTGAAACTAAAGTCATAGAATCTGATAATACATAAGCCCATTGTGCATTTGATTTTAAACTTAACTTATGTAGTTGTTCTGAAGCTCTTGACCATGTCACACAGCCTTCATCATCAGATGCTGTTTGGTCAGTACCTAGTTGTGTAGGCGGATCTTATATGAGTTTTATTATAACATTATTTTATATTTATAACTTCCACTTGGTGTCATTTCCTCTCAGTCTCTCTGACTGAACCGGCAAATCAATGGAGCTCTTTTATTACTGGGGAAATAGCCATTTATATTATTATTTAGGACAGGACAACCTGTGGACCAGGAGAGGAAGCAGGAATAGAAAGGAGTGAAAAGAATAGAGGAGGAAAAACATGATGAGGAACCAGGAGGAGAGAGGATGGAGAACAGGTGAGAAGAAGACAGAAGAGGAAGTCTGGATTTGAAGAGTGAAGAAGAGAGTAGAAAGGAAGAAGTGAGAGAGAAAGGGAGGAAAAGAATGAAGGAGAGAAGGGGAAACGAGATGTGAAAACTTGGAGGTAGATTTTGTCTCAATATTATTTATGTGAACTGATTGATAATCAAATAAAACACCTTCCACAAATACAAAAAACACATTTGTAAACTCACGAAAATATCTTGCTACAGCCCATGTGATATGCTTAAAAGCTGCAGAAAAGTGAGTAAGTGGACCTTAAGTTCAGTTTGTTTCATCAGCTGTTGCTTCGAGTGTCAAGAATGAACCGTCACATACGTCTGTCGGCCGGGGACCAGGCAGAAAAAGACAAAGAAAAAGTCAAAGTGAATACGGCCAGAACACGGAGAGTGACATTCCCCCACAAATCTCCACGCTTGTGTTGTGTTGTTTTTCTGCCACATGGGCGCACTGTTTGATTTTACATCTCACTGTACCGGGTTATAAACTTTCTGCTGACCTCCAATCAGTGCTCGACAAAGAGGGAAACAGCCCTCAGGAAAGCTTATCAACTGGTTTGTCCTTATTTAACTGAAGGTTTGATTGGGAATATGTCACATTAAAAGCACAACACCAGCTGACCTGATGAGGGCCTCAAGGCCTGATTTGTTTATCTGAAGTTGAGGCGTCACCGTGACGAGGGGTCACTGCGGACGAGTGTTTTAAGACCTTGGTTATTTTTAAAACCTGGGGTCAGGTAATATTCCAGCACAGAAAACGTAGCTTGTAGCTTCACATACTGTAAACAAACACTCCTCTTCCTCATTGTTTCCTCTCGGAGAAATCTGGAACAGGAAAGGAACAAAATACAGTGATTAGTTTGTTCACTTCCTAGAAATGACAGACTGTTTACACACAGTCGTTACTGTCACCGACGCTGGGGAGCCACATTAGTTCAGTGTTTGATCGGTGGCCACGATGATGTGACTCAGACGCAGTGACTCACCAACCAGTGAGCAACAGAGATGATAGCTTTTACTCTCAGCGCTGATGCACAGCCCACTCCTCTGTTTACACCGGCAGAGATGATGCAGAGATGATGCGATTCTGACCGTTAACGAGAACAACATGTGGTTTATGTGGGTGATCAAAGAACAGATACAAATGCAGTTTCCAATCACACGTGTCCTTCAGGAAAAGACGTGTGCATTATTTTGAGGTGTGGTCTAACCTGACGGAGGTTATTGTTTGATCATGTAGAAACAGGGATGAACAGGTCTTTGCATTGTATGAAAAATCCAGTGTGTGTGTGTGTGTGTGTGTGAAGTTACAGCAACACCATAACTTAAAACAGAAAAAAAAGAAAGAGACTGTAATATACTTTGGGCTCATCTCTGCATGTAACAATAACAGGAGATGTGGCAGCAGCCAGCAAAGAGTACGAGCACAAGCTGCTTTTTCCTCTAACGTCCAATTAGAGAGTGTTGGCAGTGACTTGTCTACATTCACAGTGTGGCGGCCCCTGATTAGGCTTCTCAGCCTGCAAATTAAATACAGTGGAGAGCGCTGCTCGTCTGCGCACAGGTCTGTTAATCTGCAACCAGCTGTGACGGCCTTTATCAACTGGCACGGGAGAGGAGCCACACTGCTGCAGGGAGGAGAGGCTGTATGGAGAATAGCAGCAGACTATATGTATGAATTATAGATAAATGTGCATCTATCGCTGCCACTAGGTAAAAGGTAAATGGGGAAGAAAGGAAAAAAACAACAACATGCACCTCAGTCTGGCTCCAGTCGTTCACGTGAGCATCACTTTCTACTAAAACTGAGGATTCTTCAGACAAAAAGCTCAATCAGGAGCCATTTAAAGCACAAGGTGTTTTGCTATTGGAGGCAATGCATCTCAGAGTCCACTGTATGACTCATATGTGGCTGCAGTGTGTATCATTGTGTGTGTGTGTGTGAGAGAGAGAGAGAGGAGAAGGAAGGCAGCTGAGGTAAGTTATGTGGAACTGATACCATCTGGTTTTCTCATCACTACCAGTGAACATTACACCCTCAACCACCACCACCACCACCACCACACATATATACCACTATCTCATCCCGTTGTCATGGCAATAGCACATATGATGCTGGAAGGATGCTCTTTGAAATAGGTCAGGTACCTTAACTGTATTGACCACGTAGTATCGCGATGGAATATTCGATGCTCTGAAAGGCAAGAGTTCAAGGTTTAAATCCTGGAGGACATCATGGTGGGTGTCATGCAACCAGCTGGTTTCCTCGTCATGACAACAAATACAACAACACCTGACTGCACCTCTACTACAAGAGTTCAAGCACCAGTGATTTAAACGTCTGACGGTTCAGACTAAAATGCCGAGCACCACGAGGAAAGGGAGGAGCGTCACGAGTCTTTATTACCACAGCAAAGATCCAAAGATGAAAAAGTTTACAGTCACGCAAAACACCGGGTCATGGAAACACGACGGAGCGAGTGTTTTGTTTTTTTAATCATAGAGGTTTTTACAAAACACAGACAGTGAGGCAGATTACTGAAAGACTAAAAACATACAAAGACTTTGGTTTAAGTTGTGACTGATATTTGCAGGAGAAAAACCTTCTGCATAACTCTGAGTCATAAAATGATCATCTGAAGTTTCATCAACAGGCTCCATCTCTCCCACATGTATAAATGATTACTGGTGGTAAATTAGTCAATTAATCAATTTAAATTAAACAACATTCATTGATTAGCTGTTAAAGTCATTCATCAAGTGAAAACACCAAACATCCTCCAGCTTCTCTATTTTCTGCTTCATATTATAAACTGAATACTGAACTCTGGGCTCATTTTACAGACCAAACATGGAATAAATGATTTAAAAATGACACATAAAACAGCAGATTAATCAATAATGACAATAATCACTAGTTACAGCCCTAACAATGTCAGTATGACAGTCAGCTACTACAGCAACTGGCAGAAGGAGATTAACAAGTGCAGTTTGTTCCCTGAGGGACGGCTACACTTCTGCTGTCTCATACATCACAAATGGATCATTGCACTGTCAGAGCAGCCATGATTATATCTAATTGACTTAATTAGACAGAAACCATGAGCATATCCATAAGCCGCTCAGCTTCTCCACCGAAAGACGCATAAACACAGTGTTTCACATCAAATTCATGTGATATAATACATGTCCCTCACGTCATATATATGAGGATTAATGCAGATAATCTTCCTTAACGGGGCAGATATACAACACAGACGTGAAAGCACTGAGGAGCCTCACATGTGCACACACACTTTCCCGCTTCTGCACAGTGCGTCACATGACGGAGCAGGTGAAGCCGCAGCAGTCTTTCAGCAGCGTCAGCCCGGTTTTAGTGAGATACGGCGCCGACGTCTGCTGCGGTTTGGACGCCACTGTTTGATCCCGCGAAGCGCCTGATTGAAAAAGGAGACGTGAGAGAAAAATCTCACACACAAGAGCGTGTTCTTGCACATGACGGCCTCGTGGTTACACTCACCTTTTGCAGCCGTCGCCTTGGGAAACTTGGACTCTAAGAAGGCGGCCATTTCTCTGTCTTCCTCTCGCTCCCTGAGGAGAGAAGAACACGTCCTTCACTTTCATTTCTTTAGATATTTTATCACATATTGGTAAATGTCACTGGGCTGCATTTGAGAGAAACCTAGCCCACAGTCTGGACTGACGCTTCAAATCTAGATCCTAGATGGTTTCAGCTTCACATCCACGCTGAACGTAGGAGGACGTTCGTTGGCCTCTCGCATCCCTGCAATCTCTCTGGGAACAATTCAAAATGTCACTTGTAGATATTCCCTCAAACAATAACAACGGCCTGCTTATCGGTGGTGACAGCTAATTCAGCACCGCAAACAAATGATGTGAGCTGTGTTGTTATTATTCAGTGTAAATATACGGAGAGGAAAGAGAGACGGAGCGGAGCGGAGGAGATCAGGAGGCGTTTTAAAGACGACTTCTGATGAAGAAGAAGAAAATGTGAAAATTAAAATAAGTTTTTAACCTTGTTAACATTTGAATATGATGTGTTTGATATAATACAAGACACGTGATGAGTGAAATAATCAGTCAACATCACGACGACGAGTGTTTCCACCTTGGAACTGCAGCAACAGTCTCTAAAAACAGATTCAGAGTTTCATATGTCACAAACCCTCAGGGACCAATCATGTCAACGTGTGGGGACAGTGGGCGGGGCTAAATAAACCTGAAACCTTGTCAGTACAGAAAGAGAGTGTTAGCATTAGCACAGCCGCTAACACTGTGTCAGCCACTGCCAGCTACAAGCTAACAAACAACATAAACAATCAAAGGATGCTAACTACGCTAACCGTTGAAACATGTCTGGAGAGGAACTTTAAGAACTCATTGTCTCATCAATAGTCTAAGATCAAATAAGTGTAAGTGTAAGTAGGTTTTGTTGAAGGCCCTTTCACCAGTGGAAACGATGGAACGAGGAATTACACGACTTTGCCTCAACGAAAACGTCTTGAATGTCCCTGAAATCCATGTGAAAATGTGACAGCGGTGTTAACGGCTGTGCGTCAGAAGAGCAGCGCGAAGTCAGAGTTGATTTACTTAACCGCACCTCAGCCTTTCAAACTCCACGTCGTCCACGAGGAAGTCTCTGGTCTCCACCAGCTTGTTGATCTGCTGCAGCAGCTCCTCCTCCCTCTGCCTGTCCTCCTTGGTCTTGTCTTTGTCTGTTCAACAGTCACATGACAAACCTTATTACAAACAATTACATCCTCGTCATACAAAACAGTAGACATGCCATTGCAGCTGGGATTCAACAGAATATTCATTTTTCCGACATCTGAAACGTCTGTGGGAAAACTTATATCTATAGCTTATATACAGTCTTCTATGTAGTCGCCACAGCAACCATCCTCCATATTATAGCTGTCATCTAAACGCCATGAGCAGAGGAACGTGAGTATCAGTGTGAATATTTTCAAAGGGAAGAAACATTATAAAACCAATATTCAGTTAGAATGAGTGACGCCTTGACAGACACGTGATTATCTCACGTCTGTAGGTGTTTTGAGGCGACAACAGGTGACGTGCAAATCTTTCTCGCAGTAAACCGGTTTACTCCAGTTCTCCTCACAGAGGTTCAACGCTACACTTGAAGGTGGTGACCGCTTTTTGAATTTACCTGCAATTGAGACGAGTTGTTGCAGCTCCTTCTTCAGCCTTGTGATTTCTTCGCAGAGCTGGATGTCATCCATCCTGAGAGGAAAACAAACAGGGAAAAATATTCCCACAAGAACCACAGACAGATGTTTACACAGGAAATCAGTAGCGTTAAATTAGATATAGTTAACTCACAGAATACACTGACTGAAATGTGTAGTTTTGCCTTTGAGGGGATTTTATATCATGGGCAGCGAAGTCATTTCCTTCCTGACTTTGTAAACAGCAGCGTGAATGTGAAATTGTTGGTCTCTTATCAAAGAGAAAAACACGGGTCTCTGAGTTTATTGGCTGAAAAAACACGGCCACGCTGCCCTCTGTGAACGCATCACACCTGACAGCATCAGATCTCATTACACCACCTGACTCTGATACTCATTTCAACACGTCAGGGGTTGAACAAGTGTGTGTGTGTGTGTGTGTGTGTGTGTGTGTGTGGGCTGCTGTCACAGTGAAGGCAAAAAGAGGAAAATGACTGTGGTAGAAATATGTACTCCGAGCTGCTGATTTAATAAAACGGGCTTCACTTCATTATCCCTCAGCAGTATATATCTCAGGATGACTCATAAGCTGCAACCCAGTCGTGTTTATGCAGAATGTATTTACATGCAAGTCTAAAGTAAGAGGCGGCATCGGCTGCCTACAGCAGGACTGCTGTGGTAAAAAGAAATACATTTATAAATAATTCTTAACCACAAATATATAAATATGAATCCAAATATTAAATGGAGAACACTAACAATTTTTTTTTTAAAGGAATTCAAACTTTTTTTTTTTTTTGTCAATTGTTAGATGAGGATTCTGGTCACATGTGGGTTCAACCCCAGGACCCTTATCAATACACAGTCATCTACACCTGGTCACTTCATGCACCTTGGGGCAAGTCTGACAGATATCACAAGGTGACCACAGAGACACGCTGTAGCCAGATGTTAGAAAGGTGTAAATGCATCTGTCTCGCCAAGACACAGACGTGATCTCTCCTCCTCCAAAGTGAAACTATATCACAGCGTTTATCTGACCCTTGAATAATCCGTATGGGTGAAGGAGCGACATTAATGAGAGCCTGTTAGCTAGCTATCTTAACTGTTGCTGTTGTAATTTAACACTGTTTTTGTACGGATTAGGCAAAACAAACCAGAATAAATGTGTTAATCACGGAGCTTAAGAGATGCTGGTGGGTGGATTCTGCTTCCTGTGGACAGATCCAGGCTTCCTGTTTTTCCTGTTTCCAATCTTTGTACTAAGCTAAACTAAGCTAAGCTAAGCTAAGCAAAGCTAACCAGCTGCTGGCTGTGGCTTCACATTAACTGTGCAGAAATGAGAGTGGTGTCGATGTTCTCCTCTAACTCTCAGCAACAAAGCAAATGAGTCTGTTTCCCCAAATGTTGAGTTATTACTTTAATAACACAACCTGGTTACAGCTTTTCAAATTCATCCTCAGCTGTCTCAGGAATGTAAGATTCACTTGTTTTCACATGATACAATTCTTTTTCTTTTTTTCTAACCAAATCTCCTGCTTGTGTTGGAATTGATTTAATACATGTCAACACATGCAGGCCCGTGGGTATGAGAAGGAAACCAGCCTATTATTAGGAGTGGGACTGAGCATCACTCCTCACCCTCTGATTGCGGGTGAACTGACGGTGAATCGAGTGAAAACATGATGATTAATGATTATGAACCACGGCACTGATCAGACCGGTAACATCTGAAGGTTTGCACAGACAAATGAAACATTATTATCTCTTATTATGCAGCGCTGGTCTCTGTTCTCAGTCTCCCCGCTCTCCCACCTCCATCCTCGTGTGTCAAAATAACGAGACACAGAAAATAATTAAAAGCAAGGATAAAAGAGAGAGAGAGAGAGAGAGAGAGAGAAAGGGGCATGTTTTCAAGAAAAAGCCTGGTGAGACCTTAAATAGCACTGCTTGTTTTGCTCACACACTTTTTGCCGTCATGCGCATGGCTGCTCCCGGTGTCGGTGGCTGACACTCGTGGTGCGTCCTCTCTCACCCCCTGAGAGACTCCCAGCAGTGTGTTGGTGTATTCAGATCCCTGTGCAGCAGAGCTTCACTGTATGTGCGGGTGCAGGCGATCAAACAGTGGAACATCACACGACAGAAGACAAGCATTCATCAACCTCTTTGGGTCTATTGTAATAAAACTCCCACGCAAATGTTGTCGGGTCCAACAAAACGCTATTTTGGAGAACCATGAATGATTAAATAAAAAGCTACAGACACAGCCGGTCTGTAGCAATTAGACTAAAATCAGACATGTTTGTAAATGCGCTTATCGTAGTGAAGAAGCAGATCTTACATGTATCTGAGCTCTGACTCTCTCCGTACCAGGATGTCTCGTACCCGCTCAATTTTGAACAGCTCTCCTTCGATGTCCTCCACTGTAACTGTTGAGTCGGCCATGGAAACGACATCTTCTGCTGGAAGACAAGCGAGAGCAAGACACGTTTATTTGGGTCTGATAACTCTAAAAGTTTCTGCAAATGCTTTTTTTTGTTTTTATTCTTTCTGTTTGAAAAAAAATGACACAAGTACAATTCTTTTATTTTTTCAAAATAAAGACAATACAACTAACTAACAACCTTGTTAATGAAAAGTCTTTTTAAATGATCCAGCTCCAGGGCTGAAGTGCTGTGCATGCCGAGCACACAGCATGCTAAATATGAAGCTACAGCCTGCAGCTGGTTAGCTTAGCTTAGCATAAAGATGGGAAACAGCTAGTCTGTCAAACTATTAGGCTACATCAAAATGATTTTACCACTAATCTGCTATTTTCATCCACAGTAAGTTGGTGGTTCTGACTCATTCTTTTATTGATGGTTGTTTTTATTGTATATTTTTAGTTTGGATTTTATTATTTGCATTACTGTTTTTATGGTAAAGCACTTTGTAACTTTGCCTTTGAAAGGAACTATATAAATAAAGTTATAATTAAAAGTATGTGAGTGGAAATTAAAACGCTGAATTCTGTGGAATTGGTGCTTCATTAGTTTAATTTATTGCACCCATTATATCCTAAGGACTCGTTACATATAATGTTGAATAACCTAAATATCCAGAAGCAAACACATAAAGCAAATGAAATATGAATGAAACAGTCAAAGTTGTAATGATCCTGGTTCAGTTCTGACATTAACACCACCTTGAATCAAATTCACCACCTCGCTATGATCTGTTCTGTGGACCCCCCCCCCCCTTCCAGTACTGAACAACAGTCACTGAATGACTGCACTGCCCTCCCACCCTCCTGCAGCCTCCCACTCCTCACCAGGAGCGATGAGTCATCCAGCAGCGCTTGCATTGGCTTTTAATTACCTGACCTTGTGTGAAAAGACAATCACAAACACTGAACCGCTGGGGATAACAGCTTCTTCCAACAACCCCCGCAAACCTACGTTTCTGGTGATTCCACAACTTTTTGTGTTGTGACACCCTCCATGTGTTCCCTCTTGTTTTCATTATTTTGCTCCGACAGGCTTCCAGCACTTTGGCAAAATTGTTCTTTGCTTTTAATTTCACTTTACAGTTGTTATACAGCAGGTTTGTGCAGATGTGCAGTTTGTGTTGTTGATGTTCAGTCATGTGGTTCATGTCTTCTATAATAGAAAGTAATAAAATAAAATTAATGTGTGTCTGTGTGTGTTCTCTCAATAAAATGTGGCACACGTGACAGAAAGGAAGCTTGTTCAGTGGGAACAATAGAGAACCGAGAGCGGAACCTTGAGGGACACCAGAAATAAAATTAACTGCAATTTGCACAGGGAAAATATGTACGTCTTTGAAAAATCAAAATAAAACAAATATCAATTTTTATACTCTTGATAATTGATTAATTGAAAAATACATTTTCAAGCAAAAATTCCAAATATTGCTGTTTTCCTTGTCTGGTGTGACAGCAAACTGAACATCTGACAAAACAAATTTTACGACGTCACCCTTGGCATTACGAAAGTGAGCGTGAGTTTTTTGTCAAACAAGTAATTGATTGATTGAGAAAAGAATGAATCAATCATGAAAATAATAATGGTTTTCAGCTCTAACTGGAATTAATTAATCAGACCAATTACTTTTCCCTACAAGTGAAATGGTGTTGTTAAATGTGGAAGTCACTCACCGGGTTACATTTGCTTTTTTTTTTTTTTTAACTCAGAAGCTTTAAATTTGATCATTTTAGCGCGAAAAAAACAAATAAGTGAAATAAAAGGATGCCACTTTTCCATTTTTAGTCCTGGGGAGAAGACTCTAAAAAAACAAGATTTAACCATCAGTGTATGAAAACTCCACCAAAGTCTGGGATTTAAAGGAATTCAATTAAAAGAATTCCACAAAATATAATTTAGCATTTGAGTTAAAACGTTTAACACAGTATCAGAAATACTGGGGTTTATAAGTAGCCTACATGGGAACTACGGAGGATTTCTGACCCCTGCTGTTGAACTTTGACAGATGCTCAGTGTGAAGATCTGCAGGGACCTGAAGCTTCCTATCTACTGAAGTTGCTGCTATGAAAAACCTCTTTCTTTCTCACTCCTGTCTAAACATGCATCTCTGTAAGTTTAAGTTTATTGAGAACTCACTTGATTTCTCCGTCGCTCCGTCCACCTGTGTGTTCTCCAGAGCTCCGTACTGTTGACAGGATTTTCTCTCCTTTTCCATGTTTTTTCCAAAACGTTTCCTTCTCAAACTCTTTCAGCAGAAATATCAGAATAAATATTTGCGCTGCTTGCAAATAAAAATGAAAGCGCGTCGACTGAGTCCGTGCATCACTGGCGCATTGTTGCGGGGGAACATGGAGGGAGGAGAGGAGAGAGGAGGCAGCAGATGCCGGAGTCCAGCCCCGCTGTGGTGGATGTGTGAGCGCGGAGGAGCTGATGAAGCCGATCTCTGCTCCGAGGCGCCACCTACTGACGCGCACACACACACGCACACGCACACACGCACGCACACACACAGCAGCAGGCCAGTGGTTCCTGCACACACAGTAAGAACAATGTGGAAAATTACATTTGAATCCAGTAAGAGAGAAAAACGCAGACTACTCATATCTGCCCGTGAAATGCTGTTTACTAATAAATCCACAGGCAAAGTTTGAGGAAGTGCAAATAAAAAAACTGCACAATTTTTTTTATCAATGATGAAGAAAAACAAAGAAGGAAGAAGAAAAGCACGAGTACAGACTCAAAGCAGAAGCTGCAGGATGAACATGACAGACATCTGCCTTGTTAACGTTCTGCTGCTCTAACCGTCACAGCCCTCTCCACAGGAGGACCGAGCTGTCCATCATCATCACTTTTTAATTGCGCCTGATTGAGTTCAGCTGTTAACTGACAAACCGGGGATGACTTGATGTCATGCGGCTCTATAGGCTCTCGAGGGTGTCGGCCAGATGTTCGGGGAGTGCGGCGTGCATCTGTCTGCATGCAGGAGCTGCCACTGTGCCACAGGTAGCACAGTCCCACGCCTGGGAGTGGACGGCAAAACAAACAGTAAAGTTTATTCACTGATTGAGTCCTCGGCTGCGAGTCCACAGGTCCAGCCAGACGCTGCTGCGGACACACAGTGTTACAGTGTTTTCAAAAAGGTATTTCTCTGGGATCACGTGATGTTGGCGGCTGATTGCACTTTATATGAAGTGAGGAATAAATGAGGAGCTAATGACAGAGTCACGCATCAAATGCTTCTGCTATGAGAAGGGGATGATTGTTTTAGCAGGAGCAGTTTATTCTTCACAGCACTCTGGTGTGGAACAGGTTAAAGACTTGCAGTTACAACAGACACATCCAAACTTTGGTGATACGGAAACTTACTGGACAAATCCACACACTCACAACATGTTCAGGTCAAAACGAACCATTTGACACGAGGTGTGTGTCACATGAACCCACGTTCAAACACGGGTTAGACAAACATTTTCAGACAGATTCATCGAGCAACAGATGCCCTCTAAATGTTCTGCACACGTCGGCATGAACACAACAACCTCACAGCTCGGCTTTAGTGTGCTGAACTCACAGCAGGTGAATACACAATCAGTAATAATCAACAGCATTTCACACAGACAAACAGTAGAGTGTTTGGGTGTGGTGACACAGGACGGCAGCCTCTCCTTGTGCACATGTCTCGTGTTTACACTCCTCGTTAGAGGCTTCAGTGTTTTACTGTCGTGATGTCTAAGCTGTTAAACTTGCCCGATTGGTGCCGAGTCCTTCTTCTGCCCACCCATAATCCTGCTAGCTTGTTTGCTTTAGAGCACAATGACTGTTGTGTGCAAATGTGAATTCGACCCAGAGTCCAGTCCACAAGCCGACACCGGCAGGCTGGGAAAATGGTGAGACTGATGCGATGCCACAATTTAATTCTTATGAAAAAATTTTAAAAAATGCAGTAATGAGAGTTAAAAGTCAGCACTTTGATTTTAATTAAACCTGACAGGGAAGGAAATCAATGATTGTGTTCAGGCCACTTGATGATAAAGATGATGAGTCTGTGAAGAACAGTGTGAAGCTGCTGATTCATATTTTCATAAGAAAGTATCAGTCTCAACTCTCAGTGTGGGATTCAGTGGTTTATCCTCCTCCCATAGTTGTTATTGCTTCCGTTGTCTTCCATGGCTTTATCGAGCCAGTCTCTCTCCTGCTCAGACTCAGAGTCACTGGCTTCACTCGCATCGGCCGCCAAAAGGCGAGAGTAGTTGATCCTGCGCTGGCGAGGGGCCCTCCACTGGAGCAGAAGCAGACACACACACCACACCATCAGGCCCGCCGCCACGCCTCTGAACAGCCACGCCAGCCCGTACGTCTGCACCACAAACCCTCCGGCGAAGCTCCCCAGCCCGCTCCCCGTGTGTAGAGACAGCGCACTGTAGACCCTCCCCACGCTCCGCTCAGCCCCCGGCGTGGCCACTTCCTCACACTGGACCTTCACGGCCCACCAGAGGGCTCCACCGCTGAGACAGCTCAACACCTGAGCGAGCAGAACAGCCCACGGTCCCCAGAGGAAGGAGTAATAGAGGCACTGCAGGCTGAGACTCGCAGCCCCCACTGCGAGCACCCGTCCTGGGCTGAGGAGTCTGGACACCCGGGGAGCCAGCAGAGGGAAGGCGGCCTGTGAGAGCAGAGCGAGGGCCACAGACAACCCCATGTGCAGCTCGTTGCTCCCATGATCCGCCATCTGCCACAGGAGGAAGTTCTCCACGGCCGAGCCCGCCACCCCGACCAGCAGGGTGGTGGAGGCGCAGAGCAGAGCGCGGGGGGAGCCGCGCACCAGCTGCGCGGCCTTCAGGAGCCCGTTGGCCCGGTCTCGCTTTCTGTTCAGGTAGAGCGGGAGGCAGGAGGCCGCGGGCAGGGCCAGAGCTGTCAAACCAGCGTAACAGTAGAAGTGCACCACGCTCCTGTGGGTCTGAGCAGCTATGAGACAGCTCAACTGGCTGACCAGCAACCCTGCTCCAGCAACCCCACACGCTGCCCCCAGCAAACGCCACAGCCCGGTGCTGCCGTAGCGGTCTGACGCATCCGCAAAATCTAGATATTCATACAATCCGTCGTCCGCAGTCCACTCCAGAGGGGCCGACACAAACTCCCACACAGAGACCGTGATGAGTATCAAGAAGAAGAGCTGGTGCTGAGCGTCCATGGCCTTCAGGCTGCCCAGAAAGTCAAACCGGCTCCGCTCCTCTGGCGTCTCTCCTCCTTGCAGTTCTTCAGATTTGAGGTCTGACCTCTTATTCCTCAGTGCAGCTGCAGAGGAGCTGGTGGCAGGATACACAGCTGAGCTGCTGATCGTTGGCTCTCGAACGCTGTCGTTGACCACGACAGAAACATTCTCCTGCGACTTTTCAGGATCAACGAGTGTCTTTGCAGGAACCGTGACGCCGGGCTGGGAAACGAGGTGTTTTGGATGAGCTGTAGTGGAAGATGTTTCAGGCTGAACGCTGCTCATGAGCAGATCATCACCGAGACCGCTGCTCTGATTCGTCACGTTACAGCTGCTGCTCTGTGTGTGCACATCTGTAGGTGGGATAAGCAGCAGAACCAGAGCGACCGCCGCCGAACACACGAGAGAGCCATTTATCACCGCTCGCCTCTTGTTGTAGTGCTTGGAGAGCAGGCTTGCCACGGGGCTCCAGACCAGCGATATCAGGTGCTTAGCGCCCATGATGATGCCCGTCATGGCCGGCGTCAGGCCCAGCTGTCTGAAGTACAGGGTGAGGAAGGGCAGCAGGCAGGCTCTGGTGCAGGAGCACAGGAAGTTGAAGGTGGCGGCCAGAGCGACGGCGCGCTTGATGTCAATCTGCTTGTTCCTCTTCATGATTGTCCTCCTCAGTCTCTGCTGACAGGTCTCACATGGAGAGAGAGAGAGAGAGAGAGAGAGAGGGGAAAGAATAGCGTTAGCATGACAGACGGATGAGAATGAATGATCACCGCTGATGTCCTCCGGTGCTGCTCGTCTGGAATCAATATCTATATTAGTTTGCAGTTGCAGGGCTGTGATTCTTCCCAGAGCCCAAAGAGATGATGGTGGTGACCAATTATTCCAATTATCAATATCATAATCATGTTATAAAAATGGATAAATCAGTCTGTTTTAAATGTTTACGTTCATCTTTAATTGAAGTCATTAGTAGGATATTTATGCACAAACAGAACACAGTTGTTATGGTGATGAAAAGAAGATCAAATGGAATAAACAGAGGCGTTGTGGTCTCAGGAATCCAGGTCAGTGTTTTCTCTTTGACTCACTCTGCATCCTGTTTTCAGCTGGATTCTGTAAAAAGACAAAGTTCATCGCAGAACTTCTCATGTATTTAACATTTACTCCAACAGAATCAAACCTTCTGTGTTCGTATCAACTCAGATCAGATAAGATAAATGTCTTAATACTAACACGGAAAGTAAGTGCAAGCCTACAACTGTTGTAACTTTAAAACCCGCGGAATAAGAAGTCTCGTGCAGCTCGCTCTGGGTTTTTGTTGTAACTAATTAAATAAGGAAAAGGAACCAAAGAAGGGAACTAACACCTGTCAGGCTGGACGCACCTGTCCCCGCACGTTACGTTATCAAGATGTGGAGCACTAGTCCACGTCACGTCAACTTTTGTAGGATAAAAATAAAACTTTAAACACTTACCTTTTTCACTTCTGCCCGCACACACTTCCTTAAACTGTCCTCCGGATCATTTTCCCTCCTCTGCTGTCAGAGTTACATCCACTATCTGTTCTCCTCGCGGTTTAGAGCCGAGAAACACCTGCCACGGTCTGGAAGTCGCTTTCGACCGTTCCTATCCGTACAATAGGTTTACACCTGGCGCGGTTTCCATGACTACAGCGCCCCCCAACGGTGTGGATGCTCCTAGCAGGTAAAAATCCTCCCCGGAAGACTCAGGAACTAAAACAAAGTTCATGAAGTTTAACTATCTGAATGAAAAAAAGATCATAATCGATATGTTTGTGTGCGACAGTGCAGCCATGTTCACTTCCTGTCACTCAGGAGCAACAATATTCAGCCTTTCTTACAAAATGTTCAAATCTAATGTTCAAATCTAAGAAAATTAAACTGAACATCTTAGTGCAGTGGTTCTGATTTCATATGTTAATGAATTCCTGTTGCTCACTGTTAAGGATCAAGTCACTATGAATGTGTGTGATTGGTTACCACTTAACGGATCATCAGATAAAGATCAACAGTGGTGAAAAGCAACAAAGTGGAAGTTATAAAATACAGTATAATTTAATGTACTTCTTGCAGTTTATGTTTCTTTGATGTGATTAAAAATGATGCATTGTTGCACATGAAAGACCCTGCAGCTCCACACAGTTCCTCACAGTTAGGTGGCTGCAGATGTGCAAAGCTCTGCCAGAACCAGGAATATACTGTATTAAATTTAATGGAACTTTGTCCAATAGTTTTTGAGATATTTCAGTCAGCTACAAAAGTGGTGAACTTTTGCTCTCACTTTGTCCAAGCGTCTTCCTTAACTTGCTTACCTCCAGAGCCTGAGCCAGTCTGGAGGTTTGACACGCCGTCCCCAGCCCCGCCCGCAGCACACGTATCATCAGATGTTTCTCTGTGGTTGGTGCGTCCCTGAACAAGCTGCATACCTCTAAGTGCGCTCTCACTGCTGCTTCCAGTGGAGCACAAAACACAGCTGGATCCGCCAGCACCAACACCCTGGAGGAAAACCAGAAAACAGAGGAGCAGGAGACAATATGGTTGTAATAAAATAGTTTATTTAGTGTTGAACTTCATTTACACAATACAAGCTGAAAGTTGTTACTCACTTTTCCTGCAAGGTGAAATGCTTAGTGTTCAAGTTCTGCTCTGCCATGACTCTCCTCTGGTATAAAGAGCCTGTTGATGGGAGTTTTTTATTTTTTACAATGTATTTACAGCAATAGTTTTGATGGATGAAAATGTGTTAATCGATGCTTTATACCTGGTATGGTCATTTCCATCTTGATGCTCCTCAGAGTGCTGAGGGCCACAGCAGAGCGAGGCAGTGGTAATATGAGCAGCTTCATCAAACACTCGTACACTCTCTGGTAAACGCTGACAGGAATCATGGAACCTCACTGGAAGGTTCAAATATTGGAATAGCAAATCAATAAGACAGGAAATAATACCAATAATACATATTCAGCTCATTAATCTTTACACTCTTCACAACTGTAAAATGACTCGCTGCTGTTACAGAGTTTCTGAACAGGTGTGTCTTACCTGAATAACTGTATAGTAGAGAGTGTGCAGTATTGGGATGATTTGCATGTAGGATCTTGTTTTGTGGATCTATATCAATCCATACACAAAAAGCTACTTTAAAATCAGCTTTAATTAGCTCTTGCAAATATAAAGAATAAAAAAAACAAAAAAACATCCTCATCTGCAAAGAGAGAAGCAAACAAGCTTTTGCAAATCTACACAGCAGTTTGAAGACTTTTATTTTGAAATCTGAGATCAGAGTTGAGGGACAAATCTTGCTAACCCTCTTTAGCTTCTTCTCTCCAGCTCTGTGACCAGTGAAACGCTGCAGGACGGATCGGCCTCCAACTTCTTCTCCAGATTCCACCTTAAAAATCCTGCAGAGCAGAGACACAGTTGATTGCTTTGTATTTGACTATGCACATTACACTGTGGGTTAGCTGAGGCAAGTTTAGCTATTAATCTTAGGGCCATGTAGTCCAGTGTTAATAAATTAGTTTTATTCTACAAATAAAAAAAAAACAATTTTATCATTTTAATTAATGAAATGAAATGATCTTGATAATGTAGAGAGATCCACGTCACTATAAACGCCACAAAAGAAAGGAAACGTAAAAGATAATTAGTTTTACATTGTGCTGAATCAAATGATCTTTCTTTATAATTTATTCTGTAAAATTTTATTGACACCACTCTCATGTCTGTAATTTGAAGCTACTGCTACTAGCTGCTCGTTAGCTTAGCTTAGCATAAAGACGGAAACCGCTAGCCTGGCTCAGTCTGAAGATAATGGGTAAATGTCATTAATAAACATGTTATATCTGGTGTTATACAAACTACCAGGCCAAGTTAGCTGTTCCCCCCATTTCCAGTCTGCATGCTAAGCTAAGCTAACTGGCTAGCCTTATATTTACTGTAAAGACATGAGAGTGATATCAATCTTTCTTTTCTGCATTATTTTGGCTTTTTAAAACATTTTTAACGATATTATTGCTTAAAGTAAAACTTATTTGTGCCTGATGTTGCCTCAGGTGTAGCTACTTTCCTGGACGCACCTCGGCTGCTCATCCCTTTGAGAAGAGCCTTGACTTCTTTGTGCAGGCTGGACTCCACAGCCGAGAGAACCGCATCATCTGTGGATGAAGATCAGTGTCATTGTCAGCTTTACATTCTTGTAGTCCGAGCTTCAACCAGCAGAACCGGTTTGTGTGCTACAGTCATTCCCGGCAGCCGATCAGGAAGTAAAAGCACCTACCTGTGAGATCAACCATCTTCTCTGATATCTTAAGATAATATCTTTCTGCCGATTCCACTCGTTCCTTTGTTCATTTCAGCACTGAAATGAATAAAAAGTCTTTTCTGCAACCGACAGCTGGCACATCTGGAATGGATCAGACTTCCTGTGAATGATCAGCCAACGCCATCTGCACGAGTTTAACACAGATAATAAAGGCTTTATCTTATATACATCACTATGCAAGAAAAAAATTACGCAATCCTGTCTGCCATGAGGTGTGAAAGTAAACTACCATGAATCATTTCCACAAAGGTCTGGAAAATTTAACTAACTATAAATGCACTATACAGAATAAAGTTACTTTGAACTCACCATTGTAGATCTGTTTTCTTTACAGTGTGAAAAGAAACATGACAAGAGTTTCCCTTTGGAGATGCTCCACTGCTGCCACCTGTGAGTGATATAATGATGACGGCAGGTATAGTGTTTGTTGTTGGAGTGAAACAAGGTGTAACGAACTTCTATGAGGAAGTTCATGAGAGGCAATTACTGTCAAAAGAGTGAGAACAAAGAATAAACAGAGCTGAATGAAAAATGATTTTATTTCAACCATGTGACAAAAAAAAAGAAAACAATAAAAAGCAATTTTAAAAACATATAAAAATGTATTTGAACTGCTATCACTTTAAAATAAATAGCTCATTTTATTACACATTTCTTTAACAAAGAGTCATGGATCAATACAACGTACACAATAGTAATCAAGTAATCAGTTTTATGCTGCTGACAGCGGATAATTGACATATTTGACAAGTGATCTGACCCTGAGAAAATCCTCCACGCAAGAACAACAACATCAGTTAATGCACAGTAAGACGGACAGTAGAGGAGAAAGCTGGAAACAGTGTGACACAGCTTGATGTTGGCTACGGGACAAACCAGTAAAATACGGCAGGTGGGTGAATAAGTGTCACCCTCGTTAGTACCGCGCAGCCCTTTCATTTTCAGGTGTTACTCAGTATCTTTGTTCTGCATCCCGTGCTGCTTCGGTTTAAACATCCATGTGTTAAGTAACATATGACGCGTGTAAGTGTGTCAGGAATACGAGGCAGAGAACGAGGTGATGGGAAGGCAGAGCAGAGAGCAGTAGGACGGGTGCAGAGGCTGGACTTGGCCTGGTAAAGGCTTGTAGGACCTCCAGTCTGAGCTGCTTCCTGGTTTACAGCACAGAGACACCTCACACCTGCAGAAGCACAAGACACAGCGTCACTGCATGCGTGTCTATAAATGCATGCAGACGATATCACACATCTCACTGTGAGTTGTCAGCAGTTCCTTCCTTCCTGCTGCCTTACCAGCACTTTTAAAGCTCACTAAGAAGGTTAACACTTCTCATCTAACGCTCCACCAGGCAGCGAATTAGTATTTTTCCCAAAGCGTTGCGGTATTCCTCTAACTAGGCGTTTGAATGAAGGATTAATACTTGTAATGGAGTGTTTTCACATCGCTGCGCTGGTGGTTTGTGACGATATGATTGTCAGTGACGTTTGCTTGTGTTGTACCTGGTCACACTCTGGATGAACTTCTTCTCATCCTGATCCAGACACACGGCAAAAGTCGTCCCGTCGTCTCCACCGTTCACCTGCACCTTGTCCACCTTCGCCTCTGAGATCGAGATGTGCTGCCAGAGGGGGGAGGGGGTGTGTGTGTGGAGGGAGGAGAGGTGTAAGGAGAGGGTGTGCATGAGACTGTATTTTTTGTTATCATGCATAAAACCACCATTCACCTGGTTGTGGCACTTTTTAGACTTGGAGCACTGCCTCTTCAGGACCTCTGTGATTGTCAGCTGCAGACTTTCTATTCTTGAATCTGGACACACAGGATTTGATTCGGTTAGAAACAGGATGCAAACAAAAGGAAAAGAGAAAGAGAAAGAGAGAGAGAGAGAGAGAGAGAGAGAGAGAGAGAGAGAGAGAGAGAGAGAGAGAGAGAGAACTGGACTGTGGCAATCACCGTCACACAGATGCTCCGGCTTCCTGCAGGCTTTGTAAAGATTAATTGATGTGCAGTCGATCTCCGCCTCGATCCACTGGCTCCTCCCACTAACAGCCACCTGAAAGTGAGTCCAGATTAAAAAACAAAACAAAACAAAATTCCAGCTGTTAACTATAATAATACACGTCTTATTGTTTGAGCTGCAGGAAACCTGTGGGCGGAGACAATACCTTGTTGTAGGCAACACTTAGTGTTAAAGGGACAGCCTCTCGTTCCTCATTGATTCCAAACCTTTTGCTGGCTGCACCTATAAACACAATACTGTACACGTTAGATTATGTGTGTGTGTGTGTGTGTGTGTGTGTGTGTCCGGGTGTGTCTGTCAAAGTGTGACTCACCCATGGCTTTAACAGCTCTGGTTCCAGCGGAGTGCCCGAGCTCCAGAGAGCGAATGAACACTTCCCGTCTCCTCTCCCCTCCTGCCAGGGTCAGCTGAGCAGAGGAAGAAGCCAGACACTCTGTGAGCATCGTGTCCTTTCATTGTATATGTGTGTGTGTGTGTGTGTGTGTGTGTGTGTGTGTGTGTGTGTGTGTGTGTGGGAGATCCTCCTCTGACCTCAGCCTGGTAGAGCTGCACCAGGACGGGCTGGTCTGCATGTCTGCAGTAATAAAGCACCATGTCGGCCAGCAGGGGGAGACGCTCCACGCTGCCACCGCCCTCTGAGACACCCCCCTCCTTACAGGCAGTCTGGCTCATAGAGAACACACACACACACACACGAACTTACACATTAATATAAATGAAAAACAGTGTCACATTTTACTTTCTAACAGCAGTGATTCAAAGTGGATTTAAAGTGGCTTTTTTGACAGTGGAAAAACAAAAAGTGAGAGATTCAGAGTTACATCAACAATAATTATGTGTTTCATCCAGTGAAAGTTGGATAAACACACTAGAAACTTCATTTCCCATAATGCAACTTGGTAGTCTCTTCTTATTCGCACCTCCCTGTCTGGCTCAAATGCAGAGCGAGAGAGAGCCGGTGAAGAACGTACCTGACAAAGGACGTCGGAGGACAAACTGAGCAGACTGAGGACGTTCCGCTCGTACCAGGGATCCATCATCCCCAACATCTGGGCGATGTGTGTGTTACTGTCCTCCACCACCAGCTCATTAGACTCCTGTCAGAGTGAAGCAATAAAAACCTGTTAATAACATTTCATTTGATGGCTTTTTTTTTTTTTATCCTTGTACAACAAAATCATTTCTGTGCTGCAGAGAATTTGGACCAAAATCCATTTATTACCAACATATTAAAAGAAACAGTTAAAGACTTGATGGATTTCTGTAATAACCCATTAACTTACTAATATTTATAATTGCAAATGACCCACTAAAGTTTTCTGTTTGCTCATAAGACAGTGGTAAACCTGTGAGCCTCGTGGATTACCCTTTATTAATGACAATACTTTCAATCAATGGTTTATATCTGATCTGTAAAACATTTGTAAATGTAATTAGCTACAACTCATACATCCTTCAGGCAGCCTTTACAAAGCAGTTTGCACTAGCTCTTCTTGCATAAGGACATATACTGTACATTTAGAGGGTGACTCAGGGACGTGACACTGACGCATGTTCTCACCACGGACGCTGCGGCTCTGCTTGAACTTCCTGTCTGCCCCTCAGTTGGTGTGTGTCCTGGGCTTCCTGTTGTTCGTCTCTTGGTGGGTACAAAATAAAACTGCAGCTTGCACGTCTTGGTGAGTCGGGGACATTTCCTCTCTTTCTGCTGCAGGTCGCTGTACGCCCTGGCTAACCTGCCGGCCTCTTTGTCGCCTCCAAACACCACCACCTTGACCAGGGTAGGCGCCTCTGCCACATCGCCCTCGTCGCAGCTCAGGATCGGCCTCCTGCGGACACACATGTGCTTCTGGGGGGAGAGGGGGTCTAAGGCGGCAGTGGACGCCTGCAGAGGGTGGACCTGTCTGGACCTGGCGTGTTTGAGCATCGACCCGGTCCTTTGAAGGTCTTTGGTGAAATCACTACGGTAGCCCATGCTCTGGACGCGGCGGCAGACGCTCGGGCTGCGGGGATTCTTGAAAAGCATGGAGAGGCGGTCCACGCCTAACATGGATCTGGACTTCTTCTTGGGTTTCTTTCTGGGTTTTGGTTGGCTGTCTTGTCCCTCCTCCGTGTCCTCATGCACCGTGTCCTCAAGTCCACTGAAGTCACTTTCCACACCCGATGAGGCGGACGGCACAGACCAGCTGGAGGAGAGGGAGTAGCCGGAGTCCCTGGAGGAAGAAGATGCTGTGGAGATGCGGTGGTTTTGAAAGTCGTCGTCCCCTTTGTTTCCCTCCAGCTCGTCTTCCTCATCCACGCTGGTGTCGTTGTTATAATCCTCTTCGATTTCTGATTTCAGGAAACAGTCTTCAGTTGAATCCACGTCCGACTCACTTGTGAGGACGTTGTTCAGAATATCTGCATGAACGTAAGGAAGAAAATAACTTTTTAAGGTCAAAGATCTCTAGAATACGACGCAGGTATGGAGAGTTTGAACGGAGCTAATTACCAAAGTTGTCGTTCTCCCAAGAACATGTGTGACATTTGGGGAGAGGCAGCATGAAAGTTTCCACAGCCCCTAATGAGAGGAAGGTGACAGGTTCAGAAAACAACCTCTTCCCCAACAGGACTCTTACTCTTTGCAACAGTCTGGATGTGGCATTTATTTATTATCCATGACATTGTTTGTTTGCACTTCCTGTCTCACCCGTGTCTGGACAGCCATCGGCAGGAACAGGAACACCAAAGCTTTCTCTAAGCCTCTCCAAGCTGTTCGTTAGACCCCGTCTCGCCGCGCAGAGATCTGCTGAGGAGGCTGCGATCTCCATGCTCTCAGTCACTTCCTCCAGGAGCTGCTCCAGCTCCTCGGGCCGCTTCGTCTGGGGGAACAAGAAGCTTGTTTCAGGGTGCATCCAAAAAAACCAAGCAAACAAAAAAAATCCCCAAAAACAGACACAGTGTTGGTCGGTCACCTGCAGGGTAGTGTTTAGTGCCTGCAGGTCGTGTTTGGTGCCCAGAGCAGCCTGAAAGCCGTGCCGGATGAGGGTGACGGTGACATCTCTGTTGCAGGGCTGGGTGCTACTCAGCTTCTCGGAGACAGACTGCACCTCTGGAGGGACGTCCTCATCTGGGTTCACCAACAGCACCGTCCTAATAAAGACGCGCACATGCGGAAAAAAGACATTAAAAAAAGACACATCTCACAAAATTAAATTTCATAAGAATGTAGTTGTGTTTTTGAAGTGCCATAAAGAAGTTTAAGTTCTTTTAATGACTGTTTATAAAGGCTGAAATGACTTACACGGTTTTAGAGCTGTGAACCTCGGGGGAGGACCCCTGCTCCGTCCTCACCAGTCTTTGAAATGAAATACCTGCCTCCCAAAAAAAACAACAGAGTTGAGTTCACATGCAGCAGACGAACACCGCCCCCTGTGGTCACAGTGATACATGACGCTTTGTCAGGGGAGCTCAGGAGGATCTATCATGATCCAGACGTGTTCATCTGGACTGATTTTGACCTGTATGATATTTAACACGATCAATATACAAACAGTAGACTTTAATACAGTTATATTTTTCATACTATTCATCTGCTGGTGTTAAAGTTGCATGTTTCGGCCTGTTACTCTGTTAGCTTCATGTTTTTTATCAGCTGTTTCAATCACTTATCTATCTATCTTAGCTAAGTCACCATTTGACCAGTGCATTAAGCAACTAACTGCTAACCGTGTGGCCAAACAGCTGTAAATAATATTATGTAAGATAACTTCTGTTATATACATGAAATCGACTTTGTTGTTGTTATTTTTTTTGCCATTCATCCATTATTGATGGCTGGTGGACTTCTCTGCTAGCTTGCTAACTAGTTTTCACCCCAGGTGTTCTGTATCAATCAATATCATCATTACTAAATCTTTTTCTTTTTAATAAGCAGAGCTATAATCTCATCACTCGCCATCTGGCAGCTGCAGAAGGACCCCCTGGGGTCCCAGTGCTCCCCTGGTTGGGAACTCACACTATAAAGCAGCAATTTGACTCCTCACTTTCTTTCCGTGCTTGAAGGAAAGCAGTGAGATTTGCATTTGGTCTTATTTTTTCCCGCTCCAGTTCATAAGAAACTTAAGCGCTAACCTGGTGCTCTGAGCTCCTGCTGGATGATATGTAGCAGGCGTTTACTGGCAGAGCAGCAGGGCTCAGGCCAGGACAGGAAACTATGGAACAACAGGTAGGCCTCCTGCAGGACGCCACTGTCTGGAGCCACGTGAGGAGCCTGACAGAAGCAGAGAGGAAACAATGGATTGTGGCTAAAAACTGAATAGAATAAAAAAGATTTTATGGTGCAGTGAATACCCAAAACATACTTAGGCTACTTGTAGTAAATTACAGTCACTCACTTTTAGCAGGGTTGAAGAGAAGAGGAGAGAGAGGGGCACCACCAGTTCATACCGACACTGCTCTAGCACCTGTAAAAGAAAGAAAAAGAAATCCTGAACTGAAACTCACGGTCATTCATAACGTTACACCAACCAGTTCAGAAAAAGATGCTTTTTTTTTTTTACAGCTCTTGACCTCTTTTGTTTTCCTCAGTATTTTCTGTAGAAGGATGAGGAAGTTGTGGGGATCTCTCTTCACAAGTTCCTCCAAACACCAGCGGTTAATGCACAGGCCAGCTAGTCACACACACACACACACACACAGACACACAGAAACACAACCAGTTGAACTAACGCTTATTTCTCCTTTTTGGGGTTTCATTCTGATGTCTGGCAGAAAACATGAAATTACAAATATACACATCTGATGTTCAGAAAAGGTGTTGAAAGACCTCAGGGTGATTACGTTACTTTTCCTTGTCATCAAAGCTACGAATGAAGGTGACACTGAGTAAGTGTTTCAAAAGTAAAATTGCACAAAGTGACTTCATACTCCCACACGCCGTCTGTCACTCCTTGTTCTGTGTGTTACCACTTTCACTTCCCATTAGACTCCATACAGTGGACAATATGTTCCCCTTTAAAGTGCGTTTTGATTTTTAATCTGGTTACAAATATAATTTAATTAACATCAATGTTATTTCAATGAAGCTCAACAGGACATCTCCGGTTTAGAGATGTTTGTTCTCACAGTATTACAACATTTTACCCCAGCATCGGTTTTAACATCTCATCTCATCTCATCTCATCATTAAGCTCAGCTGTGTTTTATTTTTTAAAATAATGCCACCATTGAAAAGCAGGTATGGGAGAATGGGCCTCACCGTTCCAGAGCTCTTTGTCAGGAGTGTTGAGCCCCAGGTCGCAGAGGCAACGCTCGAGGACATGCTGGATACGATCCTCCGTGCACGAGCTGTGCTCCATCTTCTGCAGAGGCATCACAACATCCACGGACAAATACAGAAGATAAACCAACAGGAAGTCCCCAAAAATAATAACAAAACAAAACAAGAATTACAGCCTGTTATTGTGCTCCGGGGAACCAATTCATTATGTCTCTTCAGTAGTCCAAACTTCCTGTTACTGCTGTTGCCAACGCTTTATAACCATTGTTGTTCCTGTCCCAGAAATAAAAGAGAGAGAAAAAAAAGACTCTCGCGCACAAATGTCCAGAGAAAAGAAGACGTCAGGACGGAGAGAGGACTGCCCGCCACTTCCTACCAGAACCAGTGAGTCACAGACTGTGTGACTGGTCCGGAGGTGAGTTGGTCAAAAACAGTCACCACAACTTCTACTTTTTCATTCTTAAAATCATCTGACAGGCTGACACCAGATTTCATATGACTCACCCATGGGATGGAAATATTACAAAAAAAAACAACAAAAAAACAAATAAAAACTTCCTATTTAACCCTCAGTTGTTGTCTTTGTTATTTTAACAACTTTAAGTCGTTTAAAGAAACTTTTCCGGCTGTGTTAAAGCAACTAAAGCAGATGAAGCACAACGCTGGAATCTGAATACTACAGATCACATGACACCTGTGGCCGGGCCGCGCACCCATCTGGTGACACACGACTGAAACCACAGTAACCACACAAACATATCAGTACACAAGTCATCTTCGGAAACACACACATCAGGATTTAAAATGCAAGCTTGATTTCTGTGATTGATAATTAATAAAAATAAGAAAATCCCCCCCCCCCCTGCGAGTCTTCATCATGTTCGGTCTCCAGGATGTCGACGTGTATACGGAAGCTGTAATTACACCCAGATGCTGCCCGAAGTATCGCTGTGATCAGTGTGAATAATGTTTATAGCGACACAAGTGGAAAACTGTGGTCACCTGTGCCCATCAAAACAGGAAACGGCCGTCCGGGAAACATGTGATGTAACCGGCTACTCTTTAAAAACTCTTCACCCGATGTCTTCAGAAAAAGACCTGCAGAGAAACTGCATCTTAACTAGTCACATACACGCAATAAGGAGCGTGTGCACATCGCTGTAACGGGGCCACAGCCTTATCAGATGAACTCGAGCAACCTTCATCAACACACCCCCGCTACTGCGTCCAATACTATGAGCCATTTCACAATTTCACTCACTTCTTGAAGCTGTTAGCAAACTGTCTCAACCATGTACCCGTTAGCTTTCTATTCCAACCATCAAGACTCTTAGAGAATTATTTCAATTTATCAATTAATCTAGATTTTTTTTTAATGCTCTCTCTACACTTGACTCAGTATGTTATTATGTGTATATATATATATATAATATATTTTATATATTATCATATTTTCAATGAATTTTAAAGGACTCCTCTGGCAAATCTCACAAATCACAAGGATGTAGTGATGAGTAGTGATATTTAAGCAACTGGTAAATAATGATATTTAGGTTATTGTGTTAGTTTAACACCAAAATGCCTACGTGCATTATTAAAACCATGAAGACAAGGATATGTAGGATATGTATGATATTTGCAGCAGCTCTGTTCTTGGCAGTACCTGGCATATCCCGCTTCAGCCCATCAATTGTCTACTGAGGAAGCAGGTGTTTCTCCATTGTATGCACTCAGGCTATATTGTGCAGCCCCTGCCATGAACAACTTGACTGTTCCTGCCACAATGTGAGAAAAACCAAAACATACTGGGGCTTCTTTACACGTTAGAATTATTTAAATGTGGATGCTGTTTTAAATCCTGCGTGTTAAAGTGAAGGAAAGACACCAGAGGGGAAGAGGTGTTGGTGATGTGCAGCCGCCTGTTAGCCAATAGAGACACTGTGGTCAAACTCATTAGCTTCACTTTCATTAAAGCAAACAAAAAAAACAAAAAAACAGATGAACACTTCACCACACACAGGTTTTTATGCCGTGTACTCCTGATTGCACACATGACATCGGCTTCAAGCAGCTTTTAAAAGAAGGGGAACAGGAAATCTGCAGAGCTTGAATAACACTGTGCAGTTAGATCTGATGAAACTTGTGTAACAGAAGCTTCTTCCTATCAGGGGAGGAGAGGATACATGAAATGATAAAATAGGGGTGTTTTCAATCGCACACACATGCAGATACATGGAGCATGCTGTAAATGTGTTGAAGCTTAAAAAGATGACAGAAATACAGATGTGCTGAGCAGAGGGAGAGACACACAGAGAGAGAGAGAGAGAGAGAGAGAGAGAGAGATGCTACTCTTACCTGTAAGTGGAGTTATCAGTGTCCTAGATCATCCCGGGGTCGAACACAGCTGAGACACACCAGTGGAGGGAAACAATACAGAGACCACATCCTCCGGTGCTGGTGCTCGACTGATATACACCCTCTGACTGCACAGTCAAGAGAGTGTGTGCCGCAAAACAGGAACTGAATGAGTCCTTATGCTGAGGCAGTTTACATGACATTGTGCTGGTGATCAGTAGAGGAGGAGTCTTCTATAGGACAGACCTCCTTTGACACAACAACTTGTTTAGGACATCAATGACTTGTTTAAATCATTTTGTTTCGTCATCTTCTCACCCCGTACGCAAATGCACATATATCTTATATTGTCGACAGATGTTACGTGAATATAGATCCATCCCACAGCCTGTCAGCACAGGCTGTATTATAAACAGCAGAGTCCAGAAGTCTGAGACCAATATCCAAGAACGTGAAGTTAAACATGTTTAAAATTAATGACAGATGAATAAGAAAACATATATAAACATATAGACTTTTAACACGCATGTTTTTCATAAATTTGCATAAATAAATAAAATATATGATGTTAATTCAAAACTTTTACATTGAAAAAATATTGCAGGGATTTGTTCTATGTAAATATTCATCACATAGATATTTTTAATTTCTCACTATGAGCATTTCATGTATGTTATAAACTTGTATAAACTGTCGCCTAACAGGTCACATATATGTCATATATCACATGTCTGTGCAGCGAAAGACAGAAACACTGACCTTTTATTTGACGCTCTACATGAACATAAAGTAAAAATGTATTTTCTGACAGAACTGAGTTCATCCAGGAGCAGCACTGACCCTGTTCCCTCACCTGGGTACTCACTCCTTCAGCGCCCCGCCCCCTTCCCCCTAAACACCGGGACTACATTCCCCCAATGCCCCTCCCCCCTTACTCCTATCTGCCACTTGCACCTCCACTGCACAGACAGACAATATGTCGCAGACGCCTGATCTCCTCTGTTCCCTGTTCTTTGCACATGTGCATTGATCTCAAACACTGTTGCACACTGGGAATCTTTTTTTTCTCTTTAATGCAGGTATCTCTCTGTATTTATCTGATTGCAGTGAACCTTAAATTAACTTCCACTTGTGGATGCTGCAGAAAAACGTCACGTGTTATCGGCCGTTTAACAGCAGCTGGGGACGGGGCCGTGAACTGAATGAAGTGTTTGTGATATCATTTATTGGTGTCATTTCATCTGTGCGATCACGTGGACATCAGTGGCTGATTTAAGCTCCTGTTCACCTGTGTGTGGGAGGAGCAGAGGGGGAGTTGATCTTTTTGTTAATAAAGGTAAAGGTTTTTGGACTGACAGAGCAGACACGACCCCCGCCCCTCAGCGACCTTTAGCTTGATTCCTGAAGTCGCAACAGGGACATTGTCATCCTGGAAGAGACCCCTCATCCTCATCATCATCATCATCCCTTAACACACACACACACACACACACACACACACACACACTCCTCAGTGCAGGTTTCACTTCAGTCGCTGCTCCTGCTGGAACCAGGTGTGTCTGAAGCTCCTGCCATCTGTGCCGCAACAGTGAACCCTCCTTCAAAGCCCCTCAGATCTTTTCCTCTTGTCTTCCTGGAACAAAACCAGAATCAGCTGGGCCTCTTCAGCATTTTCATACAAACTACACAGCATGAGTGGATGTTCACTGCACCATGCAGTGGCACCTGCTTTATGATTCTCCACTCATTCACTCAGGCTTTTACCTTTAATTAGTCTGTAAAATGTTAAAATGAGAAGTAAGTAAATGCAATATTTCAAAGGATACATACAAGAGCACATTTTGCCGGTCAGGAAATGTTACATACAAATGTTTATGAGATGTTTATATTTACTTCAACTTAAAATGCTGCAGAAACGTGCAGCCTGCAAACTGCAGCGAAGAGAAAGTAACTATTCACACATTAGGAGCGGCGGGGGGTAGATGTCATGTGTTATGTGCCATTTCCTAGAGGCTTACTGATAACTGCAAGACTGCAGATGATTTCCTTTGAACACATCAGCTGATCGTGAAGATGTGGCTTGATAGTTTCTGGTAGTCTGACCCATCTGGTGACTGATAACATAACCAACACACATCCTGTTGCTTTAGGTTTAATGTGAATGTTTGTCTTTTTGTTTCTTCGAGTTACAACAGTGAACTGCAGCTTGTTTCTTCCTGCTTGGACCAAAGCAGTGTCACTTTGTTTTTGTGAACGTGTAGTTCAGCTGTTGTACCAGAAGATGTCGCTGCTCCCCCTCCCTCCGCAGAGACACTCAAAAGGCTCCGACTCCTCTCCTCTGAATGAGCGGACCCCCTTTTTCTCTGTAACAACAGAGAGAGGGAATGGGACAGAAAGAGATAGAGGTGGGCAGAGGTGTGACTGAGTGGACAGACAGAGGCAGAGGCGGACTCAGAGCCAGCTGGGCATCTGCCATATCTTATTTTTATTATAGGGAGAATTTGAAAGAAGAAGCGGGGGGGAAAAAAGCTGAAGCACTAGAGCTGTAGTTCTTTTTCGTGCGTAAACGGGATAGGTTGTTCTTCCAAATTCTTAGGAGTTGTGCTCCACTTTCAGGCTGAGGAGTTTATTTGGAGATAGTGTCCTGGGTGGAGTTTTCTTTGCCTCGTAAGAATATTTCATACACATTTAGCGTTACACGCTTTCGTTAATGCGTCCAAGTTTTTCCAAATATCACACCAGAGCATCATTGAAGTGTGTTACTGTCTTGTTCTTGCTTTGACTTTGTCTTTATCAGAATTACTTCCAGTGTTATTAATTCTGGTTATTTTTTATTTTTATTTTTATCTTCGTTACATTTCAGCGCAAGAGTCCCTGCGGTGCACGGATTACAATGCAAAGGATTTTGGAGGTTTGGGTCACCTTGGTGACACTTTCCGCGCTGACCGAGGGGGTCTTTGCAGGATACGGGCTGAGCATGTTTGCTGCGCAGTCTTCTCCTCCGGACCCGTGCTATGACGAGAACGGGAACCCGCGGAGATGCATCCCCGATTTCGTCAACTCCGCTTTTGGGAAGGACGTGCGCGTTTCCAGCACCTGCGGCAACCCGGCCGCCAGGTACTGCGTGGTGACCGAGAAGGGAGAGGAGAGGACGAGGGACTGTCACACGTGCGACGCCGGGGATCCCAAGAAGTCCCATCCACCTGCGTATTTGACAGACCTCAACAACCCTCACAACCTCACCTGCTGGCAGTCTGAAAACTACGTGCAGTATCCGCAGAACGTCACGCTCACCTTGTCGCTGGGTAAAAAGTTCGAGGTCACCTATGTGAGCCTGCAGTTCTGCTCACCGAGACCCGAGTCCATGGCCATCTACAAGTCCATGGACTACGGCAAGTCATGGGTGCCGTTTCAGTATTACTCCACTCAGTGCAAGAAAATGTACAACAGGCAGAACAAGGCAACGATCACCAAGCAGAACGAGCAGGAGGCCATCTGCACGGACTCCCACACGGACATGCACCCTCTCACAGGTGGACTCATCGCCTTCAGCACCCTGGACGGCAGACCGTCGGCGCACGACTTCGACAACTCCCCGGTGCTGCAGGACTGGGTGACGGCCACCGACATCAAGGTGATCTTCAGCCGGCTTCACACTTTCGGAGACGAGAACGAGGACGACTCGGAGCTGGCACGAGACTCCTACTTTTACGCCGTGTCGGACCTGCAGGTCGGGGGACGGTGCAAGTGCAACGGACACGCTTCGAAGTGCGTCAAGGACAGAGAAGGGAATCTGGTTTGTGAGTGTAAACACAACACGGCGGGACCGGAGTGCGACAGGTGCAAACCTTTCCACTACGACCGACCCTGGCAGCGCGCCACGGCCAGAGAAGCCAACGAGTGTATCGGTAAGTTCTTCACTGTGGAATTATAACAGCGTTTAAAATAATCATACATTAAATCATGTGGTCCCACTCACGAGGCGGAAGCTGTTAAAAAAATAAGCCACTTTTATTTATCGCGGTGTTCAGCCTTTACGCACAGAAATTACGCACCGGCCAGTTTTTTATTCGTTAATGTGAATTTTATAATTTGCATTTTTTTTTGTTGTTGTAGTTGTTGTTGCTGGAAATGAAATAATGAAAAACAGATTCATCTCTCTTCTGAAAACATAATGTTCTTGAATTTGTTTTTCGTCTACAGAAATAGGCAGATTCATAGATGGGGATCTGAATTTAAATCAGGACTTAATTAATTTGATTGTGGCTAAATAAACCCTGGTTGAGGCAAAGAGGGAGGAAGGCCTCGAGCTGAAATCCCACCGTGAGACAGGACTGATTTTTTATTTTTATTTTTAAAGTCAAGAAACGATTTCATTAAATGAAATTAAATCTTTTATTTAAAATTCATTAAAAAAAAATGATCCATTTTCTTGCTGGTATTATTATAACTTTATACATGTTCAAAACAAACTGAACTACTGCTGACACGAGCACGTGAAGAGATGACACGTATTTACATTAACTGGGCTGTAAATGTAAATACATTTAGTAGAATTTAGGCCTAAATAAATACCAGGTCTTTCAACTAAATCATCAGTTTTGTAAGAGAAATTGATATTAAAGTTAATTTATTTATTTTTACTAAAAAAAAAAATCAAAACAGAATCGGCCAATTAAAATAAAACTTACATCTACATAGATATATATGTATATGTATATATGTAATACGCATTGTGTAAGTCAAGTACGGTGCCACATTTCCTTCACGCCGAGATAAAACAGGGAATTTGAAGTGTTGTTTCTCCAGTTTCAGAAGCTGTTTCTGGGGTTTTTGTGTGTGTGTGTGTGTGTGTGTGTGTGTGTGTGTGTGCGCATTTTGTTTTACCCTTGATTTTTATCAACACCCTGGAGAAATTCCTGAATAGGAAAGAAAAGGCAGGAAGTCATTTCAACAAACAAAGTGCGCCTGTCCGAATGCGTAATTGCGTTTTGACCTGTGTGTTTCCGACTGTAGTAGCGGTTTAGTGGGAAGGAAACATTGCAGCTGCAGAGATAGACTGCAGGGGCGTGTTGTGTTTCCATAAGCAGGTGCTATTACAGATTGGATGGGCGATTAGGGCGGTTTTATTGACATTTTTGGCACGTAGAGTATAAACTGCCACTTTAGAGCCAGTCAACTATTCAGAGAGGAGGACAAAGCTGCGAGGTAATTTGAAGCCAGATCTGAGTTTTTATTGTAGCAGCAGCGAGCGAGTGTATTTGCTGTGATGCTTATTTTCAACACGCATTGTAAAAAACTGAAGAACAGAGAACAAACTGTGAGAACTAAAATAGTGGAAAGGAGGAAAGAAATAGCAATGAGTCAAGGCAAGAACAGGACACGAAGGTCCCAAAGCCAAAAACAGAGAAGACTGAATAGAAGGCTTCAGGAGATAAGAGCTGGGGGAGGGGGGGTGAGGGTGGGTGGGTGGGGGCTTATATCAACAGCTCAAGCCCCCCTGAGCTACAGCGAGGCAAACCTGGAAAAGTAACAAGTTCCAACAGTGCCATGGTTTGCTCAACCAAACGGAACAAGTGAACAAGTTGTTCCCCTTGGCCTCCGCCTTTGGCCTCTGCAAAGCCAGCATGTGAGTGTATTTTACTAAAACAAAAGCTTGTCACTTGTGGCATCCATCTCGCTGTCAGTGGGAGGCCCCCCCCACCCCACCCCCCACCCCTCTTTCACCATCCCCCTTTTTGTGTGAGCGGTGTCATCAGATAAAACCACAGAAAAGCCAGACTGAGCATGTCTTCCAAAGAGGAAATAATAAGGGTGGCCTGACACCTTAGCATGAAAGCAGAAGACCCAGGGGAGGGGTTGTTTCCATTGAGCGGCGGGTCTATATGGTTTGGCAGCGGGGGATGCAGAGTGGTCGCTGCTAATGATCTGTCTGGGGTTCTCCTCCCCGCCGGAGGACACGAGGACGTTGAGGGCAGGGTGAGGAGGAGAGGTGTGGTTATGGGAGAGAAGTTGGTTTCACTCACAGGCGGCAGGCATCAGGGAAGTCGAGACAAAGTCAGTTTCCCATGACTTCGCATGCAGGGTTGCCATCATGTTGTCAAGAGGCATTTATGTTGGCCGCAGCAGCTCTCACATTCCTATGGAGTGGAGCTGCACGGCGCACAAATATGTCCATAACACCAGGGCCGGGGCCAGAGGGGTGGCCCCCCCACACTGCACTGCCAGATACAGGCCCCGGGCCCCTGAACCAGAGGCTCAGTGTAATGTGACATTTCTGGTTAAACAACTGCAAAGAGATGCAAATCAACAATTCAAAAAAGATGCAAAAGGACGACGGAGGTGTTTGTTGTCTTTCAGTCGGGGTGTGATGCTCTCATTTAGAGAGGTGGTGGTGGTGTGTGTGTGTGTGTGTGTGTGTGTGTGGGGGGGGGGGGTCCTTTAACACGTCTGTGTCTAGTTCTATCCATTGTCCAATAATCTGCTCGTGTCTGTCGCTTTTAACTTGTAATATTCTATATTAGAGCACTTGGTTATTTATTCAGCATTCACAGATTACACTGAACAAACAGTGTCACTATTAATAATGTATTATGGGGTTTATTATTGCCAAGAAACACTGTGCCCCCCCCCCCCTTTAGAAACTGTGCTCCCCTCTTCTGCCTCCACATTCATACGTCTCTAAAACATGCAAACGAAAAAAGCTTTAATACATTAATGCATGATAATATTTGACCACGAACCACAATCATTTATGTAAAAGAATGAAGGAGGTTGAGAGACACACACACACACACACACACACACACACACACGGTGACACGTCAGGCTCTCCTGTCCCAGGCAGCTGCTTCATATTCTCTCCATGTTCAGCGTAGCACTGACCCCTGACAGTCAAGCCCCCCGCTCCTCTCCGGCCTGACTGATGGGCTGTGAAGGGAACTGTGGGAAACTCGCGCTTGCCAAGTGGGTTTTGAGGCAAGTTGAAAATGGTAGCCTCAGTCACTCATACGTGTAATTTTGCACTTGTTCAATTTGAGCTGTGTTTTTGCTGTCACCCTGCCATGCGATGTTCTGTTTTGTAATGACGGGGAGTCAGCTGGAGGCTCAATCAGAGCTGTTTCCCTGCACTTGTGATGTGCTTTCAGAGAACACTCTCATGCACAGCACCTCCACATGTCTGTTCTTACACTTTTTCCTTTCCTTTTTCTTTTTCTTCTGGCTTCAGATGTATTTGATATGAAAGAAAATTTGAAAGAGAGACTTGTAATTTCATCAAGCCGTCCCGTCTCGTGGGACGCAGATCCGTGCGTCTTTGATCACAAAGTCAGGTACCATCTGTCCTGCTGGAAAGCTCCCTGCGCTCCTCGTGTTCGGTCTTTATTAAACCTACACGACAATCGTTGTGAGGAACAGCCGACCATGTTTGCCACCCACAAGTTAGCTGAATTAGGATATGATTGTATCAATTGCCTGCTGGCTCCGCTCCCAGTCTGTGCAGCACATACTGGTACTCTCTGCACCGGCTCTAAAAATAGAGGAGAGCGCAGAATATAAATACGGAGAACCCGGTAGGTTTGATGATAAAAATGGTGGAGGAGATTCAAAAAGCACAAACACGAGTGGGCGTTTGTATGTTTGAATTAATGTGAAAGCTGCTTTTAAGTGGCGTGTGATGAGTCTAAGATCGGTGGTTTCCAGCCTTTGTCAGATGATATCGAACACACGCCATCAACACCGCCACCAATAATCCTCATGTGTTCAAATGAGTTTTCACATTATTTAATCCTATTGCATTTGTTTTAACCCTTTATCCATGACGTGTAGCTTTTAACTTTTAGCTGCTTCAATCTTTTACCTGAGACTTCTCTCTCTCTCTCTCTCTCTCTCTCTCTATATATATATATATATATATATACAGTATATATATATATATAAGTGTTTTTAAATCAATATAAAATGTATTTGAGTTTTTGAGCGACTCTTCGGTCTTTCCACGTTCCTGCCTTTAGAAAACAGCGTGTTCTCTGTTTCATCCTCAAACCCACTTGCATGACAGAGAGAGAGAGAGAGAGAGAGAGAGACACTGGTCCAGGCTGGAGGAAACCAGACCCTTTAAAGAACAAGGACACCACATTTACCATGGTCTGTTCTACAGAACCACTCCACAGCTGAGATCAGCTTTCCTGTTTGGTCTACAGTCGAGCTGCGACAGTTTAACTCCCATGATGCATTTAGGGATGCAGGGCTGAGAGTGCGAAACCGGTCTTTGTCCCATGTGGCTGACTGGGACCATTTACACCGTTTTCTGCTGACGGTTTGACTGTGACCGCCGGGCCTCCCCGGGGTTGCCAGGTTGGGCCGGGCCGAGCCGGTTTCACCATCTGGGTCTCATTTCAGCTCCGCGGCAGCAGCGGCCCATGTGACAGCAGAGAAGAATTTCTGCAAAGCATGATGTCATAGATTTTCTTGTAATAGAAGTTGAACTGTCTCGCTCGCTCTCTGGTATTTAGCCCCCCCCCCCCTCAGTCATTCTCTGGCTCATCACTGTGCCAATGCCGGGGGGGTGGGGGGTGGGGGGGGGGTGCAGTCATTTCCATTTCATTTGTAAGCTGAGACGTATTTGAAGATTTTGATTGTTCACATGTATTTACTCAACAACAGCCAGAAGACACGGCTGTTTCTGGTGGCTGGTTTTGTTTCGCTGACTTCTGTTTTGATGAGTTTCATGTTCTCCTACATTACCTAAACACATCGTATTATACAGCAACGAAAAACAAGCTGCGTTTGCTAAGCTAATAAGTCATAAACCGTGTTTATGACGCGTGCTCGTTACCGTAGAGGTGAAAGCACGGTGGCGTGGTGATGAGACGGGCCGGGTTTCCATCCACTTGTTTTTATGCACATT